ATTATTCATGCATCATCATCACTCATGATTTGTATACAATAATCATGTTTGTTTCTCTCAAACTTATACGAATAGTGATAATTTTTGAAAAAAATTATATTTTTTTTTTAAACAAAAATAACCTGACCATATCCACTTATAACAATATAAACAACCAATAAACATATGAATCATCTAAGATAAAACAAAACCCTTTAGACATTTAACCATTGGTGGTCGTTCTTTATTTTTTATTCTTATAGTGATTATATGTAAATTAAACAAAACAAAAACATACATATTTACTAATAATGAGAAATGATCCATTTTTTTTTCACAATTGAATTATCCTTTATCGATCGTATTTGCATTACTTGTTTAGTTTTTCAGCTTAGAAAAAATCTTTATTGTTTATTTGTTGTAAACGAACATTTCATGATGTTGAGTAAACATGGATCCATACACATATAAACAGACAAGATATCCTTATAGTATATATGTAGATCATGTGATAGGGATAAATGTGAAATAACTAAAAAAAAAAATCATCTTTGAAGACAATGATTAGAATATTGTATGTATTATAAGCAAAGATGGATAGTGACTAGTAGTGAAATCCAGGATGCGTGTTTTGTCAGTTGGATATATCTGCATCTCAGTGTTGATGTTCATTCTGGGATTTGAACCCAGTATCATTCACTTCAAACTTCATTGCTACTGTATCCTAATATCTACTTCCTTGTGAAATAGGGTGAAGTTTAATTTCACTTAACACTAGTGAGTAAGTACGTAATTATTGTTTTTTTGAATCCTTTTATTGATGTTTAGGACTGCAATAGATCAGTCTATTATTGGCATATGTGCATACAGTACAGATTGGCTCGATATTACCTTAATTCACAGCCATCCTAAGCAAAGATGAATAGAAATGGAATCCAAGACGTACATTTCATACGGTACTGGGTTCGAGTCCTAGAGTAAACATCAATTCTGAGATGCAGGTATATCCAGCTGACGAAACGCCCGTCCTGGATTCCACTGCTAGCCACTAATTATCTTTGCTTATAATGCTTGTGAATTAAGGCAATATCGAGCCACTCCATACAGTATGTACATATACCAATAAGAGACTGATCAATTATAGTCCTAAATAACAATGGGAAGATACAAACAAAACAACACCAAGTGAGTGTTTCTTACTGTATGTGTGTTTGTTTGTTATTACCATTTCACGTTAAATTAATCTAAATGACACATAATGAAGTATTTTTGATAAACAGATGGTTAATAATTTACTGGTGAATGATTTAAAACAAAATAAAAGCTAAGAACCATCAATAGTTTTCCTATTTAATCTTAATATTATAAATCTCCTGTCATAAACTTACATCAATTATATAAGTGTTTAGTGTGTTTGTACTTAGTGTAGTATGCAAAATGAGTATACTTTGGTTAGTATGATATTTATATATATATATATATATATATATATATATATATATATATATGTCTATTTAACATTCGATTATAATTTGATATTAAATAGGGATCAAACAAATAAAAATCATAAAAATTATAAGATGATATTTGTTTAGACAAGACAATTGTTTAGTGAATTTCTTTTTTAGTATAGGGTTGTGGAGATTATTACGTTTTTGATTGAGATCAAGAACCAATTGATTTTAAAGTTAATCTTTTTCGGGTAGAGACAGGTATCTAACTCAGTACAATGGAAGATGGTTGCTGAATTTCGTGGATTGGTTGAGGTTAGACAATAATACGTTTGGATGCCGATTCAGTGGTCTAGAGTTTAAGCGTTCGCGTTCGAATCCCGCGATCGGGATTGTTGATGTGCACTGCTGAGGAGTTCCACATTAGGACAAAATAGCCGTCCAGTGCTTCCAGGTTTTTAATGGTGGTCTAACATCAATCAGTTCATGATCTCAATAAAAAAAGGTTTTCTTCATCAAAACAATTTGGATTTGAATGAACAAGAAGCTTGAAGGAGATTATCTAGAATTATTTAATTTCTGTATCAAAAATGTTTATATTTGCAAATATTTTATACATTAAACTATATGTAACTAATTATAATTCATATTGTTGTACTTAACGTTGTTGTTTAAGGTAATAGGATTATTGATTTTAGGTAAAAGTACCTTGTATAAGTTTTGTTTTAGACTAATCTATATCTGATTGCACCAAATGCCGGTAATATATCATGTAAATGATGAACAATAGCACTTATATAGAACACCAATCATAATAGGGATATTAGAATAAACTGATACAATACTTGTGTCATAATTTTAAAAAGCTCACTATTATGTCAAATAATTTCCGGTGATGTTGTCCAGAATGACAATGAAGGCTCCATGACTAGACCATCTGGATGAAAGAACATAACACAACCAATAATAGACAAATTTTCTACCCTAGTTACAAACATGAAGATGAATCGAGTACTAATATACTGTATAACATAAATTTTTTGAGAATAAAAATAATTTTTTTTTAACATTTTTATCCATCTGTTATTACTTGGTCTTAAACTCTAAATTTGTAAATCGGTTATTCTAGACACTTGATATTATAATGTTTACAAGTGGTGTTTTAACACTGATGTAGGTACAGATTAGAAAGAACCAAATATAAATTTACTTTTTGGTATTTAATAATGCATTGTTTGATAGTTTGTTTTAAACAGCATTCTAGAAGCAACAGTCCAATTGGATACTGATGTTGCATAGTTACTTTATACAATGTGATGGAATCAAGTTTCAAAATAATCGAAATTGTAATAACTATACTGGACTGAAAACATTTGATTAAAAACTTACAATGACAATAAACGAACTAATTGTTTGAAGTTATAGGTCTTTGATACAAACCTAAATTTAGACATATTAACAAAGATGTTTCCTTTGACTGACTGAAGCTTGACTGTATTTAAAATAACTGACTTATTTACTTTATTACACCTGTTACTCCTCGTGGACGAGCATAGGCTACCCACCAGCGCTCTCCATCCAACCATGTCCTGAGCAATCCTTTCCAGTTATTTTCAGTTTCTATTCAGCCTTTTCATTTCTGCTTCTGTTTCCCGAAGTAATGCATTCCTTCGTATTCCACTTTTCCGCTTTCTTTCATGATTCCAACTGAGGGCTAGCATCGTGATGCAGTTTGGAGTTTCCCGTAATGTAAGTCCTATCCACCAACTCCGTCGTCTTTTCCTAATTTCCTCTTCAGATGGAAGCTGGTTTGTTCTCTCCCACAGAAGACTGTTGCTGATGGATGCTGAGTTTCATGCGTACACAACTATTTATAAATACTTGTACATTCTTGACGATGGTTGTAGTAGTTCTCCGAGTTTCAGCTCCTTACAGTAGAACTATGTTGACGTTCTTACTAAAGATTGTGACTTTGATATTGGTTGACAGTTGTTTTGAGTTCCATATGTTCTTCAACTGTAGGAATGTTGTTCATGTTTTGCCAATCCTCACCTTTACGTCCCCATCCGATCATTCACTGTATTTAATGATCAAGAACAATTGAATTTCATTTTCGCTTCCTCAATGGTTCACACTCACAAACAACCGAGTCAATTTACTTTAAAAGTAAATTATCGTTTGACCACTTAGTTGATTTCCAATATTTTATATCTTTGAATTCAGTCAATTCATGAGCTTGCAAGATCATCATCAAACCCCATCTGTTGTACTTGTCTCATACAGTTGTTTTTACTTATTACTTAATCATGTACACTTACAACCAATTGAAATAGCATTAGTTTAGTCAGAATTTAAAATAAACACATTCGTTTCGAGTACATCAAAGACTCATTCATATAGCAAAACATCGATATTACAATATTGTCAAACCATAAGTCGTTTATTTACAAAGTGTAACAAAAAGACAGTTTTCTTTTTATATAAAACACTGTGACATATTACCACAATACGTTTCGAACATGCCTACTGTGCTTATCAGTTTACTCATATATACACGATGGGAGTTATTTTATTATCCAACTAAGGCTAACTAAATGTTTATCTGAATCATAACTACAAAAGAATATAGATTTAAATGGTGCGATAAATATCCATTCCTCTTTGTCATTAAAGATATACTCAGAATTTATCATAAGAATGATCGAAAAATAATTTTTATAATGGTACATAAAAGTGGTCAAGGTCAAATGCTCGGTCATATGGAAATCTAAATCTCCCTTGAGTATTGGAAATCATTTCACATTTTTTTTATTAAACCTAATATGGTAATAGTGATTATGATTTCTATTTATCATGTATGATGTGAACAGTAGTTTATCTAACCCTTATTGTTCTTATATTCTCAGTTGTCCTGTTTAGTCATATTATTCAAAATAGACTTTGCATTATATGATCACATTTAATTTAATTCTTAATATAAAGAGTTTTTAGAAACTGTGTATCCTGTGTGAATTGCCTCGATATTGTTTTAAATCACAATCATTTTAAGCAAAGATGGATAGTGGATAGCAGTGGAATACATGATACGAGTTTCATCCTGCTTGAGACACGTCAAATAAATGTACCTACATTTCAAATTTAATGTTCACTCTGGGATTCAAACCCAGTACCGTTCACTTAAAATGCCATTACGTTGTCCACTTAGCTAATGTACCCTGATATGTACTTCCTTGCGAAATGGGGTGAACTTTGAATTCACTTGATATTGTTTACTTAAATCTTCTCATTAATATCTAGAACTGAAATTCATCAATCTCTTATTGGCATATTGTATATACTGTACATTAAATTAACAACATCAATTCATACCTATTTATCATCACAACATTCCCAAGAAAAAAAAACAAAAAAATTTTTAAAGAGAGCAAGAACAAAGGTTGGTGCAGAATAATATTATTCTGCACCAACCTTTGTTCTTCCTCTCTCTAAAATAATAAAGGGAACTATGTGTATGAAAAAAATTTTTTTGTTATTTTTTTTCTTTTTTCTTTTTCTTTCAAATTTTCATAGAACCAAATGAAAAAATTTGGACCCATTTAAAATTTTCATCAGATGATTCTGATTTATCCTATTTGTATAATACAGATAATGAAATCAATCCAAATACATTAACAATACACAATAATAATAATAATAATAATAATAATAATAATAATAATAATAAAGATTCATTAAATACAATTAAAGAAATCAAAATTAATGAAAATACAAATTTAACATTATTTTGTATATTTGAAAGTGCCCCAGTTGTTTCAACACGTTGGTATTATGATGGATTTATGGAAAATATTGAAATTAATCAAAAATTTGGTAAATCTGTTTATTGTCATTACATTTTGTTTTTCTTTAAATGTATGGTGTAGTTATGATTTGAAGTAGACTATATTACATAAATACTATTCAACACATGATGGAATCACTTTAAAAACACTGAATTCCCTTGGTTGTTACTGATGACATATATCAGCCATCAAATATCCTGGTAAGGCTGAGAGTAGGGAGAGTTAACACTCTTTCTCGAAATGCCATCACATGACCACGTGCATACAATCACTGACAGGGAAGTCCTATTCACTGTCACCTCGTGGTGAAAGTGTTGTTCATGAAATTGAGAGGACGAAAAGCGAATGTTTGGTGCTTTAACCGGGTTAGCGGATACAGAGGATCAACCCAGAGGAGTTGGTAAACCCTGATTCTAAATCAATGGTGTACATGGGCTTGAGAATTCTGAGGGAACAAATGGAGTATGAACCAACCGCTGGTCATCAGATACCATAGGACTGCATCTCCTGACGTTGCTCTACTGCCTTGGGGATCAGACGTCAAGGTCGAAGGCTCCTTGTGTGACCCCCTAAGAAAAACGCCTGCTTTGGTTTGAGCACCTGGACGGTACCCTAGCCTTCACATAAATCGTTCGATTTATGTGATGCATATGTAACCGGTGTCTCCTTATACCAATATTTATGTGTTTCAATAAATAAATAAAAATCTGTGTTCCATACAATCAAGAAAATAGGTCCTATTTAGCTAAGAAATAGATTTCATACCAATCTGTTTTTGATTTTACGTTTTTCGTTGAGATTTTATTTTCATATAATCAAATTATATCAATAACATAAGTGAGCGCACTTTCAAGAAGGTATTATCCATAATTAAATTTAATTTATTCGAAGAGCTCACTATGTCTTAGTTTCTAGTTAGTTGGAACCAATTAGGCTTGTATATCTGATATAACATAGAAACTGTTAATCTACACTATTTTTTATTCTGTGTCACTTAGAGACACAGGTGAAGAATTAACTATTCAGCGATGATTTGCTAGAATTGTGGACCTTGTGACTTAATAACCATAGATGATTTACATGTATTTCCATTAATCAAATTGTAAAACATTGTAAATAGTGTAGTGTTTACTCATATAATCATTTTTTTCTCTATCCATATAAACTCACATGAGAAGTTCTGTCTTCTTTCCTTACTCTTATAATACATGCCAGTAGCTAACCGATTCTCAATGATAAACACATTTTATCAACCATCTTATAATGAGCTTTATACTCCATGATCACTATTATTTAAATTATTACACCTCAATCATTCCAATGAAATTGAAACTGTGTAATAATGGTTGTTTTGTGAGATTACTAGACTGGATCGTATGTCACATTAACAACGGTTTTATGTTAAAAAAGTGGGATTAAAAGCTGAATTGTGAAATATCTAAAAGTAGCGGAAAGAAAATTACTGCTCTGATTTTAGTTGACCTCAATTAAAATTACAAACATTTTAGTATAGATAGTTTAGTCAACTCATGTTCTCATTAATATCAGAAGGGGTTTTGTGGATATTATAGTAATTTCAATGGTTGAGATCATGATTTAGTTGAAGCTAGACCACCATGGAAAACCTCAAAGCACTGGACGGCCGTTTTGTCCTATTGTGGGACTCCTCAGCAGTGCGTTTCCACGATCTCACCCCGGAGCGGCCTTCCAGTGCTTCTAGGTTGTCCATGGTGATCTAGCTTCAACTGACTTATTATCTCAATCATTTCATTGTTAATACTTCATAATGACACCTAGAGAAATTATAAATCGACAGTGGAAAGAAAATATATATTATGTATTGCAGAGTTTACACGTCTACGAAGCAAAATAGTTGTCAGTAATCCAACAGATAATTACTGTGATATATCGTAAACTGAATGAAATTCCATCATTGAAGTTCAACTCAGTAGTTAAAATGATTGAATTTTCTTCATGAGACTTCAAGTTCTTGGATTCAATTACTAATTTCTTCGTTCATGTACATCTCTATACAGTCATGTACTAAGAAGAAATAACTACCTAGAGTTTTCTAATCTTCAATGGTACCTTAAATGAGATTAATATATGATGAATATAACCTAAATTTGTAGGAAAAGAAATTAGATTTTAGTTACAGCATTATTCCGCTTTTTATGACAAAATTAAACTTGAGAAATTAAGTAAGCATGACATTCTAGAAGTATAATCAAACTGGCAATGAGACATTAAGTCATTTGAAAACTTTAACGAAGTATAAATCAAAGTCCGTTACAGACTAGATTCCAGTAGAATAAACTTTTCTTTTCTCTTTAAACTCTTTCCTGCATTTATTACATCATTGAGTTCCATTTCCATTATCTTCGAAATTATTAATCTTATTTTATCAACTGAGCTCTACTCACTATATTTCTATCAATATTTACTCATTATGTAATCACCTGTTTCTGGCCCTTCGAACTATAGTCACAATCAATGTTGTAGAATGTTCTTTCACATAAGGTATATATTTACAATATTCAATGTATTCAATTTATTTACACCCTTGTTATACTATACTAATGTGTCTTCAATATAACTTATAACCAAACCCTTTCATGGAAATAATTTAAACCCATTATGTAATTATGATTTTAAATATCAGAGTGTTGAGGACGTTTGATCCGCAGAACTCACTTAGAAAAGGTCCTAATTTTGTAATTTTATTTTGAAAATTTGAATTTTATGTTTTTGCGCCAAGAGACGCTTAGTTGACCTTCAGCTTACATTTCTCATTCGGAAATCCTTGACTGTCATTGATTGACAGACTTTTTTAGTATGCTATTTTGTGGCTCTTCTAAGGGCGTTTCTATCATTATATAAATAAGCTTGATTTGTGTGTTTAGTGACCATGTATTTTCTGGGTGCTTGTAGAATACATTCTTTACTCCTCATCAAGACTTCTTGATTTGGTTAGCAGGGCTGGGGACAACTGATTAGAATAACCTATCATGTTACTATATCTTTGACCTTTGTTTCGTTTACCCAGAAAGGTGAACTCGTAATAGTATTCAAGCATGTCACACGTCTAAGCAACTAACAAGAACCAAACAAATCGCCTCATTTCTCCATGTACACTTGTCAATGAACTCTATGATATTATTGATAAGATAGTATTGATTAATTGTTAACCTAAATATTCAGTAAAATATACATAGCAACAGCCAATAAATTATAACAGGTTATTTAGACGAATGAAAATAAACATTAGAGTCTATGAAAGAGTTACGTCATTGTAAATAGACATTGACATGATTGAAATATTCATAATAAAAAAACCAAAACATTAAATAGATTTACAGTAGTGTATCTACCATAATTTAGTTACATTCCATAATGGTGTTATTGACGTCATTAATGAAAAAAAAAGAGAAAATTATTTTCAAACAAACAAAAAATAGGGTACTAGATTCCAAGTTATATACTGACAAGTAGTTACATTATCGCAACTCTACGGATCATTGTGGAACAATCAATTGAATGGAATTCATCACTCTATATCAACTTCATCGACTACGAAAAAGCATTTGATAGCGTGGACAGAACAACCCTATGGAAGCTTCTTCGACACTACGGCGTGCCTCAGAAGATAGTCAATATCATACAGAATTCCTATGATGGATTAAACTGCAAGATCGTTCATGGAGGACAGTTGACAAAGTCGTTCGAAGTAAAGACCGGTGTCAGGCAAGGTTGCTTACTCTCACCCTTTCTCTTTCTCCTGGTGATCGACTGGATTATGAAGACATCAACATCTGAAGGAAAGCACGGGATACAGTGGATAGCTAGGATGCAGTTGGATGATCTAGACTTCGCAGATGATCTGGCTCTTCTATCGCACACACAACAACAAATGCAGGAGAAGACAACCAGTGTAGCTGCAGCCTCAGCAGCAATAGGTCTCAATATACACAAAGGGAAAAGCAAGATTCTTCGATACAACACAACATGTACCAATCCAATCACAATTGACGGAGAAGCTTTGGAAGATGTAAAAACCTTTACATATTTGGGCAGTATCATCGATGAACACGGTGGATCTGATACAGATGTGAAGGCACGGATCGGAAAAGCAAGAGCAGCATATCTACAACTGAAGAATATCTGGGACTCAAAACAATTAGCAACCAACACCAAAGTCAGAATTTTCAATACAAATGTCAAGACAGTTCTACTGTATGGGGCGGAAACCTGGAAAACTACGAAATCCATCGTCCAAAAGATACAGGTGTTTATTAACAGTTGTCTACGCAAAATACTTCGGATCCGTTGGCCGGACACTATTAGCAACAACCTACTGTGGGAGAGAACAAATCAGATCCCAGTGGAGGAAGAAATCAGGAAGAAGCGCTGGAAGTGGATAGGACACACATTGAGGAAAGCACCGAACTGCGTCACAAGACAAGCCCTCATATGGAACCCTCAAGGTCGAAGGAAGAGAGGAAGACCAAAGAATACATTACGCCGAGAAATGGAGATAGATATGAGAAAAATGAACAAGAATTGGATGGAACTAGAAAAGAAGGCCCAGGACAGAGTGGGTTGGAGAATGCTGGTCGGCGGCCTATGCTCCATTGGGAGTAACAGGCGTAAGTAAGTAAGTTACATTATCGATTTGTGTAAGCAGCTTATTTTTGGTATCATGAATAAAATGTTAATAGATCATATCATTTTTAAGTTGAAATTGGTTGTAATACTATTCAGAATCAAAGGGCATAAAATATCTGTATACTCTTTCCATGATACCCTTCAATAGTGTTCATCTACAACACTCCAACAGATCGATCACAACACCTTCAGGCTGCAGGATGGAGAACAGAGAAGCTGAAATCTGTATACTGCTGATTTAGAATTAAGCTATTCAAATATTTTGCTTCATACAATTATTAATATAAAAAGACTATAATTCAAACCTATTGATGGTAGTTGTCTCACTACCGATATATTTGAACTCCATCAGTCACTACTAAAAATATAAACCTAAGGAATGATTCTGGAATCAAGATACTTGTGGAGTCTCGTTTGAGTTAACTGAGAAACTGGAAAACAAAAAAAGTTGAGAATTGTAAATTGGATTATTGTGAACTTCTCAGTAATGTATACCGGTGACCTCATTGTACTTGATCTAGAGCAATCAGGTTTTTCAATGAAAAAGGTATATCGGGGTCAACGGAATGCAGTTAATATCTGTTCGTGAAGAATTCTACTCGTAAACACCTGTTGGACGTTTAATTCACAATAGTTATAACTTGAAAAAGTTTATTAATACCCTCATAACTGTCAGATAAATAACCATGATCAATTCAATGTTTTATTCTTCTGATCCTTCTAAAATCTGATTAAATCCTCATTACCAAAGTTCAGTGCATATAGGCGTTCATATGTGACTACGAGAATGTGATCGTTATAAAACAAACACTTAAATATTTTGCAGTAGACAATCAACAAGATAATGCAAATGGATGATAGCCGTGGGACATCATGAATCTACTGAAATCAACTTAATTTCATACGAGTCATAATTGATAAGAATTTTTGATTTACAATGTGTAAAAACTTAGGTATTGCATAGCCTAAAAAATTTGTTAATATGATCATCACATTTTACTACTGAAGCAGTTGAGAAATGTAAAACTAACCACCGGTTCCTTAATTTGTGCTAGATGGATAAATACATGAGTTGTCTGTAAGAATATTCACCTTAGCGTAGTCGAGATTCAGCATCAGTTTATGAAGTGAATGATTGTTATACTGAGCCATATGGAGCGATGCGAATTTTAAGTTTCGAATGTATTAGTTGATTCTTTTCTTTACCTCTATTTGATAATATTAAATGAAATTACCTAACATGTATCTCATTCAAGTTTTTATCTTTTTCCGCATTTTCAGCATTGTATTGTACGTAATTTGTACATTGATTTCTCTATTTTGTCAAACTCTATTCACCACAGTTAACTTTTAACTATTAATGGAACTAATAAACTTTGTCGTTCTTTACTTCTCTTTCTTATTTTGCTGATACAAACTTATACAACTTCAGTTGTGTATAACTTGTGCATCGTTCTAGATAGGATATAACGCCTGATTGAGTATAATATAATTACTGTCCGTTACATTTATATAAACCGCTTCCGTTTTTATCTTATTTTAGGTGTATTAATCATTAAATACGCTAGACTGGAAAATGAAGGTATTTACACTTGTTCAGTGGATAATTCTCATTCGAAGCTTATTGGAAAATCTTTTCGTATTATAGTAAAAAGTAAGTCAACATTCAATCTTTCCACATAAACCTTAAGCTTATGTGATTTGATAACTGATATACAGATCTGTAATAAAGTTTAACCTTCCAGCGAATTGGGTGACATGTAAATATGGATAAGTTTCAAAAGATTTCACCAAACATCCATTTGTAATAGCGAATAATGATCATGTGATCATCATATCTCGAAAACCACGCTTTGGTGTAATAACATACAGGATAATTATCAGAAGGGGTTTTGTGGAGATTGTAGTAATTTCAATGGTTAAGATCATGAGTCATTTGAAGCTAGACCACCATGGAAAACCTGTAAGCAATAGACGGCCGTTTCGTCCTATTGTGGGACTCCTCAGCAGTGCGCATCCACGAGCTCGCCCCCTGCGGGATTCGAACCCAGGACATACTGGTTTCGTGCGCGAGCACTTAACCACTAGACCACTGAGCCGGCATCCAACGGTGTTAATGTCTCACAACAGACCTGGTTGAACTCCACTGGTCACTACTTCTCACTAGAACTCCAGGATATACCTCTTGAACCCAGTCACTAGTGAGCATATGTTGATTAATATCAGAAGGGGTTTTTTGGAGATTGTAGTAATTTGTTATTAAACAACAAATAATTGTATCGACCAACTCCTTTTTTTAAACGTTGTGTAGGTATTAAAAAACTGGCAAACGTTTCTGTAAGAAATGCTGTTAATGCTTAGTTTTAGCAACGTTTTAGTTCCTTTCTTGTTATAAGTTATATATATAAACTGTGAATCCTTAATATGAATGTCAAGACAGTCCTACTGTACGGAGTTGAAACTTTGAGAAATACGACAGACATCGTTAAAATCGTACAAGTACTTATAAACAATTGTCTGCGTAAGGTATTTAGTGTCCGTTGACCGAATAACAACACCATCAGCTTACTGTAGGAGTAAACTTAATAGTATTCAGTTGAAGAGGAAATTTGAAAAAGACGATGTAAACGGATGGGATATACATTATGAAAATCATGAAACCGTATCACGAGGCAAGCGCTAACATAAAATCGTGAAAGTAAACAGAAAAGTGGATTGTCAAAGAGCACATTAAGTCGAAAATTGGAATCAGACATGAAATTGGATTATTATCATCTGGAAACAACTGGAAAGAAGAGTTGATGAGGCGGTTGAATGGAGAAGGCTGGTGAGTGTGAACATATTCATTATAGAATAATAGCATTGAAAGTATAATAGTAAGTAATTAATTGTTCCGACTGTAGCTCTACTAAAATTACTACCAATCCTAAGCCTGGGTAAAGTAGGAGGATTGGGCATGAGTTTGGCAACCCCATCGTTGGATGCCGGCTTAGTGGTGTAGGTATTAAGCGTCCGCGTGCGAGACTGAAGGCCCTAAACTCGAATCCCGCGAGCGAGTTCGTGCATGCGCACTTCTAAGTCCCACAATAGTACAAAACAGCTGTCCAGTGCTCCCAGGTTTTCAATGGTGGTCTAACATCAATCCATTCATGATATTAATTAGTGATAATTACTCTCATGGTAACTTAAGTTAAAATGTAATCCAATTTTCAAATTTGTAACTATTTTAATTGAATGAAGTTAATTGGATTGAAAGATCTAATGAATAGTAAAGATAATCATTTATCATGATTACACTACTGAATACATAGTTACTAAAGACAGTTGTTGATAAATTTCATTTCTATTACTGATTTCAAATAATAACGTATATGATAACATATGACATTATGTATAATGTTTTGATTCATGTAGACCACCAACAATATAATAAAGGAAATGTTTTGAAAATTATAATTCCCACATTTAATGAACATTATATTATTTAAAGTGACTTAATTGCTTAGTGATAACAAAACTGTAATTAAATAATACACTTTTAAAGAAAATTAGATTATTTATAAATAAATCTTTTGAATCCAGTTTTATTTGGCATATACTTACAAACACACACACACTCACACAAACAAATATATATTGAATATAAAGATCTATTTAAAATCATTTCCCATCATTTAAAATAATAGTGTGTAGTTGAAATCGGAATGGTTTAAATTTAGCTCAACTAGTTTAAACTAGATGATCTAGACTTCGTAGATAATCTGGCTCATCTATCGCACACGCAATAATAAATGCAGGAGAAGATGACTAGTGTAACAGCAGCCACAGCAGTAGTAGGTCTCAAGATACACAAAGGGAAAAGCAAGATTCTCGGATACAACACAACGTGAAACAATCAAACCACGCTTGATAGAGACGTTTTGAAGGATGCAAAAACCTTTACACATCTGGGGAGCATCATTAATGAGCACCGTGGATCTGATGCAGATGTGAGGGTGCGAATCAGCAAAGCAAGAACAGCATATATGCAATCAAAGAATATCTGTCAACCAACACCAAAAGTCAAAATTTTCAATAAAGATGTCAAGATGATTCTACTTGGAGAACTATGAAAACTACCATCCAGAAGATACAAGTGTTAACTAATAGCTGTTTACGCAAAATACTTCGGATCCGTTGGCCGGACACTATTAGCAACAACCTACTATGGGAGAGAACAAACCAGATCCGATTGGAGGAAGAAATCAGGAAGAAGTACTGGAAGTGGATAGGACACACATTGGGGAAAACACCCAATTGCCTCATAAGGCAAGCCCCCAATTGGAATCCTCAATGCCAAATGAGGAGGAGAGGAAGACCAAATAACGTATTACGCTGAGAAGTGGAGACATACATGATAAGGATGAACAACAATTGGATAGAACTGGAAAGGAAGTCCCAGGACAGAGTAGTTCGGAGAATGCTGGTAGGCGGCCTATGTTCCTTTGGGAGTAATAGGCGGAAGTAATTAACTAAGTCTAAACTAGCTATAAAATCAGCCTGTCAAAATATGACGTGACCTACAGTATTTCAAACAGCAGAAGCAGTTACTATGTGGATTGGAATTGACTGAATTCTTCCATTCCAAAATGACAAATCTCGCTTCTTTTCTAATCTAGACCGACCTTAAGGTCACATGGATTATAATTTCCTTAAACGTCAGATTACATGATTCGGCTAATGTACACATATCAGTATTTTCTGATTGGGTTCAAGTGTAGTTATCTGTTTATTTTATGCTTACGCAATATACATTATTCTGTGTTTATAAATATCATTTCATGCGTTATGTAATTTCTTGTTCGGCATTAGATGACTTCATGAATTATACATACATATATTGTATTATTTATTTGAATCTTCCCATTGATGCTTAGGACTGCAATTGATCAGTCCATTATTGGCATATGTAGATAATGAGGTAGCATTTGAAGCAAACGGTAGTGGGTTCGAGTCCTTGATTGCATATCAACCCCAGGATTCAGGTACATCTAGTTGATGAGTCCCAAATAGGACGAAACGCGGGTCCTCAATTCCATTGTTAGCCACTATTCATCTTTGCTTATAATACATATATTATTTTTACCCTGAGGTTATTTATATCGATCGTTGTTCTAAATCAAACATTTCTCTTTAGTTTATAGGCTGACTCATTTAGATATTCTAAAAACAATTATTTCTTTAATCACAAATATCAACAACAATCCTATTTTCCAAATAATCTTAAGTTTCTATCTTATAACTCAAAAGAAATATCCGTCTTGAAGTTATGTTCCCAATCAAATCTGAAAGGAATAACTAAAAACACCCTGATTAGAATTCATGACATGGAATATTCTTCACATTCATTTTTTTATACAAATTACTTACTAATTAAAAATTAACAAACATTACACAAGAGATTTACTTTAACTAGACAACCATTGAAATCCAAGAAAATTCTGAACAGATTTTTTTTTCATTCTTCTTTGATAAAACTAATCAAGGACATGGTGAAATGCTACTGTAGTGAACAGAATATGGGTGGGGACAATCTCAATAAAATCTGAGAACCATATAGTAAATCGATAATTTGCAAAATATCAAACCATCATATCAAACTTGACTGTTCCTGTTGTAAACATCAATCCATTGTCTCAGATTTCATGCGTTCATGCGTTTTCATACCAATTGAGTTTCGTTTCCGTTCTTTCCTCATCGACCTTCTAATGAAATACATTCTATGCCTGATCATCGTGATATATTACTTATGTGGATATAAGTAACCCACACCACACTACTATTAAGTGTGTTTGTTAATGTTCAATGTTTAGTAATTTACATTTGATATATGGTATCCCATAGCTTGCTTCAGTTTTAAATCATCCTAAATATTGACATAGTAATAATTGTTTTGAATAGATCTATTGGTGTTACTATGGTTTATATAAATTAGTTTCACATAAATTAAATGATGTATTTTTAAATTATGTTTGTTCATTTATATTACAACATTTTAAAATGCCATCACAGTTTTAGTTCCCATACTCTAGTTACAATAAATATTCTAGATATTTAACAAATGTTTAAATAGTTAAATATTTTCATCAAAGGTTTAAAGGTGTTATTCAGTTAAAAACTAACATTATAAACAACGATGAATGATGGCTAACAGTGTAATTGAGGACGCGTGTTTTGTTCTATTTAGAACTCATCAGCTTGATGTGCGGGCATCTCAGCGTTGATGTGCACTGTGGGACTCGAAGCCAGTACTGTACAAAACACGCGTCATGGATTCCACTGTTAGTAACTATCCATCTTTAATTAGAATGCTTATGAATTAAGACAATATGCATAGTGTGCACATATACCACTAGGATACTGACCAATCGCAGTCGTAAACAACAATGGAAAGATACAGGCAAAACAACACCAGGTGAATTTAAAAACTAACACTGTTCAATAGTTTATCATATAATTTTATAACAATCTCAAAATGTTTTTGTTCATTGATCAAAAGGTGATTTTGAATATTTTCTCTTTCCCTAAATGAACAAGAATCTCAAGAATATATTACCCCAGTGATGAATACATCTGTTTTATTAATTATTTTTATAAAAACTAAGTGTTATTTCAATATTGGAGAAGATTTATAGCTCAAGTGGATGATTTTGATGAAGTTTTGTCCCGTGAGATGAATGATTTGATCGTGGAGCTTTCATTGTTCTTCTGAACGACATTATCAGCACAAACTTCTACCTCAGAGAACAAACTTACTAACTTACATCTGCTATTCCTTGTGGAGGAGCATAGGCTACCCACAAGCACTCTCCATCCAACACTGTACTGGGCAATCCTTTCCATCCTTTTCGTATCTGATTCTATTTCCCAAAGTAATGTGTTCCTTAATCTTCCACTTTTCCGTTTCCATTCACGATGCAAAGTTAGGACTTGCATTGTGATGCAGTTTGATGAATTGCGTAATGTATGTCCTGCCCATTTCCATCATCTTTTCCTAATTTTCTCTTCATCTGTAAGCTGGTTTGTTCTCTCCCATAAAAGGCTGTTATTGATGGTATCCGGCCAATGGATGTTGAGTATCTTATGTATACAACTACTTATAAATACTTGTATCTTCTTGATGGCTGTTGTAGTAGTTCTCTAAGTCTCAGCTCCGTACAATAGAAGTGTCAGAGAACAAAACTCTATTAGAATTATTTCAATGTATTATTACTATCATTACTAATATTTTTATTATTGTTTTATATTAAGGATCACCAATAACCAGTTCATTAAACCCAAAAGTAATTATTACTGAAAGTGGAAAACAAGTTACTTTAAATTGTAATAATAATAATACATTACAAAAAAATAATATAATTAATAAGCATAAAATACCATTTCCAATGTTACCAACACTTGATGAATGGAATAAATGGGATTACAATAGACATATTAATCATTCAAAATATCCTATGCAAAAACGATATAACAATAAGAAATTAAACTATTCACCATATATGAATCAATGGATTCATAATGGTCAATTTATTACAATGAATGAAGTGAAAAATAATAACTACCAATTTGAAGGTAAGTTATTCTTTGATGACTTTTGATGGGTTATGAATAGGAGTTTTAATTATGTAATCTTTATATATATATTCTTGAATTAACTAATCACTTGACAAATTCAATTTTAATAACTTACTTACTTACTTACGCCTGTTACTCCTCACGAAGGAGCATAGGCCGCTCACTAGCATTCTCCATCCGCTTGTAGCGCTTTTAGAGTTATTACCGGTCCCAAGCCCGGGTAAAGGAGGAAGGTTGGGCATGGTGTTAGCGACCCAATCCCGTAGAAAACTAACTCGCTGAAAAAAAAACGCTAACCATAAAAATTAACTCGATTTTAATAAGGTGAATGATATTTCTTTCATGTTTAATTCTCTTGACGACTAACTAAAATGAAAAAAATTTAGTTGTTATGCAAATGATTTATTGATTGAGATCTTAAAGAATTAACTTACATTTAAGTTTATTTAGTTACAAACCAATTATCTAATCTAATTAGAATTAAATTATCATTGTAAATCAGATATGAGATGATTTACAACTTGATGACAAACTATCACATAACATTGTAAGGGATATTAGTCATAAAATTTAACAGATATTAGTCAGCGAAAGTGATATATATTTTCATTTCGAAGAGTTAGCAATAGATGTTCTGTCATAGAGTAATTTTTAAGCGTTTTAAGAAGTGAAATATACGTTTATTTACTATATTTATCTAAAATGATGTAGTTTATAAACTTTTCCAGTGATGTAAACCAAAGAACAATCCCAGATGATGGAGAAGATTTGTAGCTCAAGTGGATGATTTTGATGGAGTTTTGTTCTCTGAGCTGGATAGTGGAAAATTATGGACAAACATAGGAACAAACCAATAGAAGATACAATCAAAACAAAGAAGTAAACAATGACAGGTTTAAGGTCAACAAGAACCAATCCACATCGAGGTCTACAAGATAATCTGTGAATCACGTGTAGAGAAATTCGAACAATTCACTTCTACCTGAAGTTTGTGGTGATGGTGTCGTTCAGAAGAGCGATGAAAGCTCTACGACCAAATTATCCAGCTCACAGAACAAAATTCCATCAAAAAGAACAAACCTAAATTAATCTTTAGTCAATTACATATATATATGTATCCAGTTAATGTTCCAAAAATAAATTTATCTTCATAATGAATTATCAAAGTATCATTATTTCTAAGTTATTATAATACGTCGTTAAAACCTGGAAAGTCTCATTACTTTAGATCAGATTCCGAATAATCTATCAAATGATACAATGTTATAGTTACTATGTATTAGATGAAATCATTAGAATGAACTTGATGAAACCTAACCTATGTATAAAAATAGGGGTATACATAGTTGCACAATCTAGATTTACCAGTAGTAGGTTTACCACATTCATAAGCTACATATTATAAACTTCACACGAAACTGTCTTAATTGCACATTCATTGATTATATCATTATTATTGTTACAAATTTACCAATATGAAATTGTCTCTTTACCTTTCTTGTTGACCTTTTATACAGTTACTTAGCCAGAATGAATATTGTTCTCGAGCACAAGAATGTAGAGTTCTAAAACATTATTAAACTTAAACTTTCAGATAGCGTATTAACTAATTCAAGTTAATACTATATACTAGTCAGTTTGAATTGTTACAATTTCATTAACAATTCTAAATTCAAAAGTTGTAACTAATAAATTTATTTGTTTAAATTGATATCATGAACGGATCAATGTTAGACTACCTTTAAAAACCTGGAAGCACTGGACGGCTGTTTCGTCTTACTGTGGGACTCAGCAGTGCGCATCCACGATCCTTCATGTGGGACTGGAACTCAGCACTTTCATTTTCTCGAGCAAACGCTTAACCTCTATGATGGTTTAACATTGATCCATTCATGATATCAATCTAAATTCAACAATCTCCACAACCCTATACTGACCAATGTGTTTGTTGCTAATTTGACTATAATTTTACATCAGTAAATTGGATTTATATCTAGGGAACTTAATGAGAAGTAATCCAATTAAATATTCTTCTTTCATGCACCTCTATGTTTCAATATAATTAGAATGTTTAAACAATATAACATTGACTAATTCAATCACAACTCTTATATACGTAGATTATATTCATCAATGTGATACAATTATGATAAAAGAATTCATATTATGAACCAATCGATGTTAGACCATCTTTGAAGACCTAAAAGCACTGAACGGTTGTTTCGTCTCAGTAATGCCTCATACCTGACATGGTTGAATTTCATTGACCACAGCTTCTTATTAGAATTTGAAGAATTACTTGTCAAAGTTGGTTATTAGTAAGCACGTGATAATTAGTAGTATAAGGATGTGATGGTCTAATATTGATCGGTTCATGAACTTAATTAAAACTTAACAACCTTCACAACTGCATAATGATAACATAATTATGGATTTATAACTTTAAAGTATAAATATGAAGTTGTTAAACATGATTTTTCTCTCAAATATTCTTAAGTTCTGAATTGGTTTTAGTCACGGATAATTTGTTCTCATATTTACATTTCACATTACGTCTGAACTCATTTCATAATTTTTATCTATCCGTGCCTAGAAATACATATTTGATGAATGTACACATCAAAATGATATATCACATATATATCAGTTAGTTTACAATATTTTCTGCCGTCTTTAATTACTTAACAATATAATGCAATGAATGATTGGAACTTAAAGTTCTTTCGTAGAGTAGGCATCAACTGATGGCTTCATTTAGAAAGTTTTATTATCACAGCCTATCAACACTACTAATAAATATAATCTACATATTATGTAACCCAGCAATTATATGTGCATAAAAGCTTTTGTAATAAAGGATGTAGTAAAATGGTATCGCTATTAATTGAACTCTAATATTTCAATATATGTAGAAAACATTGTGGTGATATAAAGTATGGAATTCACCAATTTTACTAATCACTTAAAGTAGCCCCCAAATGCCCTGATACGGCCGAAAGTGGGTCGAGTCAACTCTCCCTCTCGAAATGCTCTCACATGGCCACGTGTATACAACCACTGCCTTCTAGCGGCGGGAGTGTTGTTTACGAAATGTTCAGTGCTATAACCGTGTTGATGAATATAGAGGATCCACCGAGGGAAGTTGGAAAACCATGATTCTAAACCAATGGTGTATATGGGTTCCAGGATCCTCAGAGAACAAATGCAGTATGAACTTATTGTTGTTCACCGGCTACCACGTGACTGCATCTGTTTACGTTGCTCCACTGCCATATGGATTACACCTTAAGGTCAAAGGTTCGGGGTGTGGCCCTCTAGAAAACCACCTGCTTCAGTTTGGGCATCCGTGTAGCATCACAGTACTCACACAAATCGAATGATTTATGTGGCGCATATGTGTTTGGTGCCTCATTGTACCAATGTTTATGTTTTTAAATAAAATAAATAATTAAATAATGCCGTAAAGCGATCATAATCATGTGCACATTAGTGACTTATTTCAAAAATGTTTCCTGAAACTCCAGAAAAATGTCATAACCGATAGAGTTTTGTCATGCAAGGTGTAAGGCACTTACTTTCCAGTGACATTAAAAGAATGTTGCACTAAATTGTTAACTGAATAAAGGTAAAAACCTAAAACTAATCCCAGATTAATGGTTCAAAGATTATGATCTCTTTTTGAACTCAGAAAGTTCTCATTTCAACTCCTGATGGGACCACTAATGTGTAATGCTAAAAAGTTTCGTACTAAGACAAAGCAGCTACTAAACGATTCTTAATTTCCAGTAGTTGTCTAGCAAAATTAAACCATTATGTAATCAATAAATATCAGTGATTTCTACAGACTCTCTATGATCATAAAAATTTCTATTTGTGAATTCATCTAATTATAAGGTGCTTATAGGTTAGTGAAAAGATGTAGAATCCTTCACATACCTGGGAAGCATCATCGATGATCAAGGAGTATGGGATGCAAACGTAAAGGCGGGGATTGGCAAAGCAAGGACCGCATTCCTACAGTTGCAGAACATATGCAACTCAAAACAACGTTCAACCAATATCAAAGTCAGAATCCTCAGTACGAACGCCAAGATAGTCAGTTCTACTGTACGGAGCTGATACTTGGAGGACTACTACAACCACCATCAGGAAGGTACAAGTATTTATAAATAGTTGTCTACGCATGACACTCAAAATCTATTGGCCGGATACCATCAGTAACAGCCTTCCATGGGGGAGAACGAACCAGCTTCCAGACGAACAAGAAATTAGGAAAAGACAATGGAAATGGATAGGACGTAAATTACACAATTCATCGAACTGCATCACGATGCAAGTTCTAACTTGGAATCCTGAAGGGAAGCGGAAAAGAGGAAGGCCAAAGAACACATTACGTCGAGATATAGAAGCAGATATGAAAAGGATGAATAACAAGTGAAAAGAGCTGGAAATGATTTCCCAGAACAGGGTTGAATAGTGAGTGCTTGTGGGCGGCTTATGCTTCTTTACGAGGAGTAACAGGCATAAGTTAGTAAGTGATAGTTTAATCTACATAATATTGTCATTAACATAGATCTATTTTCTTCAATTTATTCATAATCTTTACAGTTTTTGGCGGGTTATTCATAATCTTCTTATTATGATTTTTTTTTTGTAATTAGATGGATTATTGAAAATATTAAAAATTACAAAATCAGATACCGGTATCTATCAGTATATGAAAAGTAATCGGTATACCAATGGTATTGATGATAATCCTAATGAAAATGAATATGATAGAGAATCAGTCAACTGTAAATTTTATATACAATTAAACGATGAAAAGTTTGTTCATAACGGTAATGATTAACCAATAATAATAATAATAATGTTCATTCATTTTTCTTTTGTGGATATATTTATACTACTTATACATATTTATATGTATATGCATATACTACTCAATTTGATATAATTGTTATATCATGTTAAGTAGCATATATTATACGAAACACAATATTAAAACAGTTGTTTCATATATATGTATATATATTTAAGTAGTGATATAGTTTATAACAACTGTTTCAATGTTCACATATTGTATCCTTTCGCCATATTACAGATTATCAATTAATGAATGACCAAATGTTATCAGTATTTTCCACATATATCTTATTGTAAATAATTAGTAATACGATAATGAAGATATCTTCATTATCTACTAATGACAAGGTCATAGTCAATGATATAGGCTAAGTGTAGTGTTTAGAGTTTGATTGTTGCCAATGTATTGCTTTTTATTCCAAAAAAATATATTCAACTGTGATAAATAACCGAATTAAGATTAATTTATTTAAGGAGATAACAAATGAATGATATTCTTGAATTGTTAACTATTTGTTAACGACTGTCATCCCATTTCAGATAATAACTGTTGTGTATTTTAAGCCCGGTTTTTCATCACCTAATTTATTCGCCAATCAAAATATGACCTATTCAATCTTAGTATTGTGCCAAATCAATGATGTTCGACTGGTGTGATCAGCTTAGCGTCCTTATTGATCCTTTGTTCGTCTAACCCGTCCAGATGAATCCAGAATGTTAATAACAGTTCCCACAATGCGAATCATTTATTTCAAACATACTTGGTTTATATACCAGCCAAACAGATCATATCACATCATAAAATAGGAAGTAACATTTATACAAAATCAAGCCAAAAAGTGGCTGTGAACGTGGGAGACGGCAATTAACAAATTGAACAGAATTTAAGAATAGTAAATCGTATAATGAAAATCTATAGGCCAAAATGAAGTTTATAATAAGCAGAATAGAGACACACCTATTCTAGTTACCGAACAATTATATAATACTAGTCCATTAATAGTTCTCAGAAGTTACCCGTAGTTTAATCTTCACTAAGTTTTAATAATAACTTCATCCACTTGTCCTATTGGATGTTGTTTTAAAGCTTACTGACGAATCAAAGAATAAATTAAACCACATATACAGTTTTCTACTCACTTTATAAATATTTATCGGTTTTGATGATCACACAAATCCATTGTGTTGTAGATTTACCACTCATATATTTAAATAAATGTTTATTATAAACAGTGAATTGTAGTAATATCACATATTACCTTAATACAAAACTGTTAGGTATTTGTTATATCTGTTCGTCGCTGATTGCTGTGTCGGAAAAACGCTGATCAGCGATTCCCACGACGCAAAAGTAAGAAACAAGAAGACTGGTATAAGTGAAGATTTATTAGCCCCAAAACACTATGATGACAACGACTAAAATACACTGGTTTATGTATTGATTGTACACCTATTTTATTAATAATTAAGATTAAATCACATACTCAGTCATAACAAATCACTTACTAGGCATAGTTCATGTCAACTGAATACAAGAATATTGTATATTATGCAGAAGAAAATATCATACTGCGAAAACAAATCAAATACTACACTGAATGATCCTCACGTTGAATCAAAACGGATGTAATGTTGAATAATGAGTAATTCAATCGAAAATTGAATTTTCTTTCCATCACAGATGTTACTCAGCTTTTTCTGTATCCATCATGTGAAGTTTCATACTATCGAAGATTATTGTTTTATATCATTAATTATCAATGTATTTCAATTTGTAGTCATATACTTATTTTGGATCAGTCTCGCGTGCGAGACTGATAGGTCTTGGGTTCGAACCCCACGAGGCGGGATCGTGGATGCGCACTGCTGAGGAGTCGCGTATCAGGATGAAACGGCCGTCCAGTGCTTTCGGATTTTCCATCGTGGTTTAGCTTCAATTGACTCATGAATTCAATTATTAAATTACTACAATCTCCACAAAACCGCTGTCTGATTCTAGTTTAGTAATTCATCTTAAATATCAATTGTACATAAAAAAGACATTGATATGTTTTAGTATAAAAAACATCAATTAGGAACTTTTGTAGCTCCATAATTATCTTAGTGAGCATTCTATAAAGGTTTAGATATCAAACTATTTAAGTCATTTTACACCTAAATAATAAGAAAGTTTGAAAATTGTTGGCTACTCTTCAAAAATACACTACCGAACTAAAGTAGATCGAATTAATCATTCATCTATTAGAAATGATATAATAATGATGATTTGACTAATGAATAGTTGTGAATTATTCTGCAAATCTGTTTATGAACGATGCTTACTAACGCTACATATAAACGAGTCCTAATCAAATATTTGAAAGAGTCCTATAAATATTCTTTACCAAGTCCTTAGAATCCCAGAAATATTTGACAACGTTTTATCCAATCAGCGTTGAATAGAATAGTTACAAAAACATCTAAAAAATGCAGTCACTTGTCATGGTTTTAATTGGATATTTACTGCTACTATATTTGTATGGTTGCAGAAATATCCAGATTTTCATGGTTAGGTGTAGTACTATAAATACCCGAGTTTTTTCTGTACATGAACTAACCCTAAAATTAAGCTTTTATTTGCATTTCGCTTTTGTACTTTAGTGTTCCATTTGATGTATATAGGTAGTTGTGGAGATTAGAATCGGCTGCAAAGATAGTTTAAGCGTATCGGTAACAAGATTTCTGACAAATCATTTCAACAGTGGATATTCTTAAAGGATCAATTAAAGTATTTATCATACAATTTATTATGAACTGTATTGTGAATACTAATTTAATTGATTTAATACTATTCTGGCTATAAAATACACAGACTAAAAAGTCTTTGCTTTTTTGTATTTGTCAAGAAATCAATTTAGTCTGAAAATAATGAACATGTTATAAACAAAAAAAATACTGATTTAACTGATTACAGATCTTTTGTTGAATAATTTATCAGTAATCCCATTTGACTTTCATTACTACTTATAAAAAAGAAATAATAAGTAGTTGAAGAGATAGTAATGAAATGTAATGAATTCATTATGTTCTAGAAATATTATTAATCTTATTTTGCTGAAACTGTAAATGGATTGTGAAATTGTACATCAAATCCATCATAACAAGTGATTAAGTGCTCTCGTGCTAGACTGATAGATCCTGGATTTGAATCTCACGAGGTGGGATCGGGGATGTATACTGTTGTGGACGAAACGGCCGTCCAGTGCTTTCAGATTTTCTATGATGATCTATCTTCAATTGACTCATAATCTCAACCATTGAAATTACTAAGATCTCTACAAAACCTCTTCTGATATGAATAACAAGGAATCGTATAAATTATGTATCATATAGATATTTCAGTATATAATATTTAACATATTATTATCATTCATATTTGTTTTAGAAACTGATGAACAAATCAAAACAATATATGAACATACTGCTGAAGGTTTAACTGGTCATTTAAATTGTAATCTATCATCATTACTTTTAACTGAAGATTATCAAAATATCAATCAATTAAATAATCAATATCAATGGTCAATTTTATGGTATCGTAGTGTAACATCAAATGAACCACTTAACATTGAATCAGTTAATAAAGCATCTGGTGGGATTAAATATATTATTAGTAATGTAAATGAATATACACAAATACTCAGTATAGTTAATCCTAGAAAAATTTTTGATGATGGTCAATATATTTGTAGGTAAGTTATCGGGTTAGATCGACTTGAATCTGGTATTTCTGATATATATTAATAAACATAAAGTATTCTCTTATGCTTCGATATAGGTGATAAAACAAATAGATATCCATTTAATAAGTAGAATTGTCTATCGATTATAAATATAATTAATAGCATATCAAACTATTGATCGTTACAGCTTCTCAGTGGAAACTTTAAGCAGGCTATATGTTCTGAGTATCTTAAATTTCAAATAATAGTGAGTTTGTGAGTCCACTGTGCTAGGGTTGAAGCTATCACGAGTTCACTTAATCTGCGAATGAGAACAAAGGCTCGGTAACCAAAGATCAACAAGCTAGCTATTCGATGCAACCCAGCTCCGCTAACTAGAGGAAGAAGTCTAAGCTTGGAATGTGGAAGTATATTCTGCAAACAACCAGAAACGAGCGATAACAATAAACACATATCAAAACGTATATGTACAGCACAAAAGCGTCCTTGGGGAGGGTTACAAAATAGCATACTAAAAGATGCAACGGACCAATAGCATTCAGGATATTTCCCATGTGGGAAATACGACATGAAGGTGACAAGAGTGCTTTTGGTGCAAAAACAAAGAAATTCAAATTTTCTAGATAAAATTACAAAATGAGCTCCTTTTCCAAGTGAGTTCCAGGGATCTAACGTCCTTAATACACTGTTTGACAAGAAACAATTAATCACTTTTTTCTGGTCTATGAAGTTCGTCTAGCTAAAATCATCACATGAAGTGAAGTAATTTCATGTTGAACAACAAACATTTATTTTGTAGATATATGTAACCTAACCCAAAGTCTATACATCTGGTATGATATGAAAAATTCATTATAACATCTTTGTTCGCAAATGACTGAGTAATATATGATTTTTTCAATAGTTAAGATCATGAGTCAGTTGAAGTTAGACCACCATGGAAAACCTGGAAGCACTGGACGGCCGTCTCGTCCTATTGTGGAACTCCTCAGCAGTGCGCATCCACGGTCTTGCCCCCTGCGAGATCCGAACTTAGGACCTATCGGTCTCGTGCACGATCGCTTAATCACTAGACCACTGGGTCGGCGTTCAGCGGTTTAGTGCTTCTAGGTTTTTCCTAGTGGTCTAGCTTCAATAGGCTCATGATCTTTATTATTAAAATCACTATTAAGAACAAACTGTTTTTGAATACATTAAAAGGGTTTCAGTTTCCGTACAGCCAAGGCCTCAATAAACTTTAGTACGTGCCCTAGAAGGCTTTTGTACAACACTACAAATGCTGACTTGATGTCAACCTTGTGACTAGTCTGAACCAAATTTTTCGCAATGGAGGAAGATGTCTGTCTATTCTGTGATTTTTATCGACCATTGGAAGTCATTTGTTTCTGAAGCCGTTTGGGTATGTGTTCCACCACCCTTACATGCAGATTACGATTACTCCTCTCTATATACGTGTTCCGCACATACATGTAAATTGAAAGACACACTGACCTACGTGTTGTTTGAACTTTTGGTGAAACATAGACCTTGTCTTTACAATAGTGACAAATTGGGCTGCATGAAATGTCCTGTTGATGGCTAATTTAAGTCTCCGTTTCAACATGAGATTATTTGAGTCGCCTTTAAATGGTAACATAATGTTAACCCGCTTTTGTGCTAATAATTCAATAAAATGTATTTAATTTATAGAAATTATTGTAAACATGTATTAGTGTTGTGAAGGAAAGATTTAGATAAATTTTAGTGAAATTTCGTAGATGATATTACTAGTACTACTCACTTAAAACGTCTAACGAGCTGTCCATTGATCTACTGAGTCAAGATAGATACTAACTTGTGCAACGAGTGTGAATTGAATTTGTAAGTATTTGTTTCTTATCATAGTTTACAATAGCATCATAAATATGTGAACATAAACATTAGGATTCAGTTACACTGAACTGGCAAGAGAATGAAATACACATTTTGTATTTTACCTATGACCTGGTAAATTCAAGACAATTTTTACAGTATGTACATTTGAAAAGATAGGCTGATTAATTACTGTTCTTGACATCAATAACCTGACGACATAAACGCTTACAAAATAGGATACAAATCAATTTCATTGACTTAAAAATAAAGTTTTGAGCCGAAGAAGAAAACTATTAAGAAATAATGTTATCAAATTTATTTATTTATTGAAACATAACATTGGTACAAGAAGGCACCAAATATACATGCACCATACAAATCATTCGATATATGTGGGGGATGTAATACTGCTCGGATGCCCAAACTGAATTAATAAGAGAACGTGTCTGATATCTTTAATAAGATATTAGTTATATTACTGTAAAGACGGTAAACGCGTGAACTCGAGGAAGCGTTAAGAAACTCAGAAAGAGCCGAAGATGTTCCATCCAATCATGTTTTGGAAGAATATTCCAGAATTTCTACGTGGATCTTCCCTATCGGACAAATGCTAATAACACCCTGTATGTGAATTGAAGGACTATAATGATGATTTCGTTTTTTTAATGAAAATTGTAAATACCTGACAGTTTTGTAACACAGTTGACACTATTTGGAATAGCGTTTCTTTCACTTGTCTTCTGTATTTTGATTTGCGACTTGGGAGGGTTCTAGTGTTCGAGTGCTCAATTTATACGCGCTATATTAAGAATCTAGAGCTCTAGATATAACAACTGACGACGAGGATAGGATTTGAACCCATGTGGGGAAACCCCAATGTATAACCCCAATGATAAGTTAAAAATTTCACTTTTGAAGTCTCATCATTGTACGCATGGATTTTATTTATCTCTCACTGATTCCGTTTAAAAAAATATAATTAAACTTGCGTTCAAGACATTCATTTTAAAATATAATGTAACCTATATAAATGAATTGTCACTTATTATAAAGAAGTAATTTTTTACTTTATTTTAGAGTTTACAATACAACAACTGGAAAACTTTTAGGTGAGCGACGATTTCAACTAATAATTGGTAAGTGAATTCTTTGACAATGAACATTGAACTGATAAGTTATGTTAATATTGAACAATTATGTAGATCACCAACATAAATGATCTATGTTGAATGATTGGGGGCCTACTGGAGTTAGACGGGAATTGTATGACCAGCAGCTAACTTCTAACTCACATCTGAAAGTCAGTATCTTACGTGGATTATCCTTTCGACGTATCAATGAAGTATGGCTGTTTTGAAGACCGTACAACACGGAAGACGTTATTACGAAGTATCTTAGTAAGAATAAGTACAAGCAAAAGTGAGACCACCACCACAGTTTACGACTAACTGCTGCATGTTAGATGTTCTCGATCTTAACAGGGGCCGATGATTTGTTCAATGTTAAGTGACCCAACTCTCAGATGATTTGGCTAGGGCTCAGTAATATAGCATTAGCACTATTATAATCAATGGAAAGATTCATAGAAAACTAAGGTCTAGTGATGGATTGATTAGTTTATCGCCAGAATAAAACAAAAATCTTACCAATAATCACAAATTGACTTGTTTTCATTTATTCATTGGATTTATAATTTATAATTCCCAAATACATATAAACTAAATTTAATAAAGTTACTACATTATCAGACTGTTTATCATTGCTTATAAGTGACTATTATTTTATTAAGTCAAATAAATTTAATCTAATAATATTTAATAGTTGAATTCATGAGTCAAATAAAGCTAGACCACTATGGAAAACCTAGAAGCACTGTACGGCCATTTCGTTCTAGTATGGGACTCCTCAGCACTGTGTATTCAAGATCCCAGCTCGCGGGATTCGAACCCAGAAACTATCAGTCTCGAGCATGAACACCCAACCTGTAGACCATTGAGTTGGCATAGAACGGTGTTATAGTCTAACTTCAACTAATCCACAAAATTGCGCCACCTTCCATCATTGTCATCAGTGAGATACGATCTCACAATAAACCTGGTTGAACTCTATTGGTCACAGCTTCTCACTAGACCACCATGATAATCTAACTTTAATCGACTCATGAATCCAACTATTAAATTACTAAATTCACCATAAAATCCCCTTCCACTAACAGTGATAATATTTAAGAAATTCCTATTTAATGGACATTTTATTTACCATAAATTTACTTTTTCTTTTGTCCGAATAGATAACATTCTTATTTGATATATATATATATATATATATATATATATATATATATATATATATATAATGCACGCAATCTTTGTCATACTGTTATCATTTTTCAGAATCAAACAATGATGAAGATACACATAAAAATCTTATAAAACATGAATCATTTATGGCTAAATCATTATCATCTATTTCATCAGAAATTCAAAGTAAATATGAATTACCTATTAAAAGAAATGAAAATGAATTAATTTTAAAACAAACTATTCATAATGAAAAACCACAAATCAAAGGTAATCTATAAATATATCTACAAAAAGTTTTGTTAGTTAGTTACTAAGATGTTTAAAACGTGCATTCAACAAAAGTATATTGCAATACGTTTATTTAGTAAAGTTTATGTATACGCCTTTGAGACATACCGGTTTTATTTTTTAAAAGAAGGAATCCAATGTGGTCGCCTAACTAGTCAAAATTAAGTAGGTGAACAGAACTCCGATTCTTATTTATTTACTTACTCATAGAGCAGCATGAGTTACTAATCAGCTTTCTCTATTCAACTCTATCCTGAACAATCATTTCCAGTTGTTTCCAGTTACTATTCATTTTTTTCATGTTTTCTTCCAAATCTCGGTGCAATGTATTCTTTGGCCTTCTTCTTTCAGGATTCCAAATTAGCGCTTGTCTTGTGATACAGATTGATGATTTCCTCAATATATATCACTTAAGTCATAACTGACTGAACTGACTGAATAATAAGTATCATAATTACGGTAATAGTTAATCCACCTTGTAGTATTCACCATTGATAATTTTATTTAAATCTAAACATATGTACAGTTCCATTATATGTGCTACCTAAAATAATGAACAATAAGAAACTATATGTTTATATTACAAAAATATATTAAAAGATAATTTGCTACTTGATATTTAATACGCCTAAAGGATAATCTAATTTCTAAGTAAATTGAATATATAAAAAGTTCTAATAGTTGGATTCATAAGTCAATTGAAGTTAGAGCATCATGGAAAACCTGAAAGCTCTGGACAACCATTTCATCTTAGTATAGAGAATTTATGATTTTTTGTTATTAAAGTATAAAATATTTGATATGGTAGAGAAGATTTGTAGTTTAGGTAAATGGTCAATCAAACTATCTACCTCAGAGAATGAAACTCCATCAAAAGTATAAAACATTCTATGATCACATAAATATGACAAGAATAGAGCTTTATAACAATTTTTCATCTCTATTCCTCTTATTCATATCCGATTACTTTCAATAAAGTTTTATTATTTACAAATTGTATGATTCATCTAGTTACCTTAATTTATCACTTGTATTAATAGTATATATGATAAATTTTTTTAATATCCGGATTTGATTATTTATTCTCTGAAGAAGTAATTTATACTGAGCTGAAAAATGACAAAAATTTAATTTACTACTTATTAAGATGCTATAAATAGATTATTATTAAACATCTACTCAATATTTACTTTATTTGAAATGATCAACTAAAACGGTGCTAATGATACTTATCTCTTAAAGGTTATCATTATGAATCCAACCAACTTAAATAAATCATAACATTCTGTTAACTTAATATAATTGAACAATTAATAAACAAATATTTCTACGCTGTATAGTGAGAAGAGTATACTAAGAGATGCTTTATTCAATGGATCTTTATTAATGTAAAATAATAATATTAAATTGTAGTAATATATTAAGTTTAGGAGTAGTTGTACTCAATGAATTCTATTGAACATTTAATTATATTTCAGTTGAATAATAGATGGAAAAAATAAACATTAACTTTGATAATCACTACAAGTTATCATTATAAGATTTTCCACCACGAAATCTGACATCACCGTGATCGGTGGAGCTAATCCATCTCGGGTAGAGACAGGTATCTAACTCAGTACAATGAAAGATAGTTGCGCGATTTCGTGGATTGGTTGAGGTTAGACATTAATACCATTGAATGCCGGCTCACCGAAGGCCATGGGTATGAATTTCGAGTGCGGAATCGTGGGTGCACATAATAGGTCAAAAAAGCATTCTAGTTCTTCCAGGTTTCCAATGGTGGTCTAACATCAATCGACTCACGATCTCAATCATAAACGTAATAATCTCCATAACCCCATACTGATAAATCTGACACTGATTGGATTGTATCATAATTTTTATCGAAATATACATGCCTCCAACTCTCGTATATTTTCATCAACTTAAATCGCATTAGTGAATAAGAGAATTAAATAAGTCAAATACGAACGTATACAATCGTCGATGTGAACAGACAATCAGGGAAACAAATCGGAAAAGACGTGTAGACTAACTCGATTTAACCAAGCATGAATCAATATTTATAGTCAAACAAAAACAAGATACGGACATATAGGTGATTGCTTCAAACATTTATAAGCAACGTGTTAAAGATACCTTTGATCGAATACTAGTAATTCACTTTTATTCTTTATTATGAATGGACGTTCTTCACACTCATAAAACAAAATACTGCTCAGTAAACTAGTTCTTTGTTTAGTAGATGGATATGTTTCCTTTGTCACAATTGACACAATCTAGTAAAAGCCAATCTATCTTTGTGAATCTTTGACAAGTCGGATGCAATACAATAGCTAGTCCCTGTAAATCATTCGTAGGAAGTAGTGAAATAAATATTTAAAAAAACGCATACTGACTTATTATGCTTAAGATTGGTAATTAAATAGTAACCCATGAATATTCACTACATTTTTTATTTCCCTTTATGTGATATAGTATCACGACCGATTGTGAAACGATTGGCAAATTTTACAATGGCTGTACATATAAAATGGACAGTTTATAATAGTCCAATTAAAGAATTACATTATCAGTTAGGTATAAAACATTTAGGAAATATTCGTCAAGCTAAATCTGTAATGACATATTCAAATGAATACATAAATTTAAAGAACAAATCGAATACAGAGGAATTTTCAGTTCTACCAAATATTTATGATAATTCAAGTATTATATTTGATTCACGTGATCTTTTTCAACCACAAAACTCTTACAGGTCAGTTGATAATTTTATTGCTTATTTTGGTAATTATAAATGAATAAAAGTTTTCTCTCTCAGTGATGAAACACTGCTTTCTCGTGGCGGGGGTGTTGCTTACAAAATTACGAGGACGAAAAGCGAATGTCTGGCGCTTTAACCGGGTTGGTGCATATGAAGGATCCACCTAGTGAAATTGGGGAACCATGATTCTAAACCAATGGTGTACATGGGCTCCAGGATCCTGAGAAAACAAATGCAGTATGAACTTATTGTTGATCACCGGCTACCATGGGACTGTATCTCCTAAATTTGTTCCAGTGACTTGTGGATTAGACCTTTAGGTCAAAGGTTCGGGGTGTGGTGGCCCCCTAAGAAAACCACCTGCTTTGATTTGGGTACCCGGAAAGTATCACAGCTTTCACATAAATCGAATGATTTATGGTGGTATACATAGATAGTCATCAGCACCTGTTACAAAAATCAAAGATCACGCCATTTAAAAACGCACTCATAAACTTCATTACAAACTCTAGACGTGTAGAATTGACTGAGTTACACTCTACATTTTGTCATTTTATATATAAGCGAAGATACTAACATAAGGAAGCAAAATCGTGATATGAAATTGAGGCTAATTAAAAGTGTACTTATATAATATAAACAAATAAATTCCGATAATTCAATTATAAGGAAACGACAAACATCTATCCTTGTTTAGTACATAGATTAAAAACGTATCACAGAATTAATCTGAATTTCAACATTATAGTGTAAAACAAGTGGTGCTTAAGGACAAAGCATGGATGGATGGTGGCTAGCAGTATAATCCAGGACATGCGTTTCGTCTTATTTGTGACTCGTTAGTTGGATATACCTGTATCCGAGGTGATGTCCACTCCAAGACCCAAACTCCAGTACCGTTTGCTTCAAATACTATCCATTGTTATTCACCATCCATTTTTGCTTTTAATGCTTGTGAATTAAGGCAGTATCGAAGTAATCCTTACAGAATGCACATATGCCAATAAGAGACTGCTCAATTGCAGTTGTAAACATCAATAGGTAGATACAAGTAAAACAATATCAAGTGAAAATTAAAATACTTTCAAACAAACAGTTATATTCTTAATATAGTAAATACAAGATAATAGACTCGTTATAAATGTAGGAAACTGAAGATTATCAGAATCAATGACTTGTCACTTAGTTTGAATAGGTTAACAGTGAATTCTCACGTTTTCCACTTAAAAGTAACCTTAATATTCACACTAAGTCACTTATCACACTGTAGGATATATATATATATATATATATATATATATATACAGGGAAAGTGAGTGCATCGATCCTTAAATATATATCCCATGAATGAGTACATAGTAAATAAAACCTGAATACTCTATGGTGTTTATATAGAACATAATCCAAAGAAATAATGTCCCATTCTTTATAACATATACTACAATTAGATTGAAAATGCTAAGAGAATGATTTTCATTTCATTTATGTATCCTAGGAAGTAAAACTGGATTGATTGATTAATTCATTAATCGATCGATCGATTAATTGACTGAATGAAAGATGATTAAAGTTTTTATCTCACCTAAAAGGTTACTTCTATCCAATGTTGTGAACATGACTACTAATAAGTAGGTTTTACAAGAAATTCCTATTAAATCAAGCAAAATATCAGTCTGTAGTAAACAAAAAATTTCATTTAATTACTAACTAATTTGTCACTCATCATTATAAAAATGACCGTAAAGATTTTCATAGAATGTTCCTCAATAAAATCTATGAAAAATGAATGATGTCAAGTGTTATACTAACTAATAAATGAATCATGCTTTCTTGACTTTTATTTCATAGAAAATAGATTTTTTTAGTAAAGGATTGTGGAGATTGTTGATCAGTGTTAAATCATCATTGAAAACCTGGAAACACTGGACGGCCGTTTCGTATTAGTCTGGGGCTACTCGACAATGGGCATCCATAATCTCGCACGTGGGATTTGAACCCAGGACCTTCGATCTTGTGGGCTAACGCTTAATTTCCAAACTACTGATCCGGCATTCAATGATATTCATGCCTAATTTTAAAAGATCCATGATCTTGTGAAATTCTCTATCCATTTTTTGGGGCGGATAACTATCTCCACTCGATATGGATTGAACTCTATGGAACATAGCCTATCACTAGAACTCCAAGAAGTCCACCTTTTTACATATGAGATGAAAATTGACATTGTATTCTATTAACTACATTCAAACACTTCACATAAAATGGAATTTCATTCACAAATTGATTTGTACTTAAATGTCGTTATCTGTAATTACTTTTAAAGTTCCATTTTTCTTATAGACCTTCTAATGCTCAAAGCTCAATTTTGACATTATAAAGTGCAATCCAATCAACTTATTTTCTTTTGTATTTTTTTCATTTACTTGATTCTAGCTTGCGTGTACTGGTTTTAGAACACCAACTATGGAGCCCTTGGACAGAACCAGTGAATTTTGATAATATGCTTGATACTAATTTACAAATTATATCAATTGTAGCTAATGTAAGTTGAATGTATTTGGAACATAATTAATTGTAAATTCATTTTGCATTGTTTGTGTGAATCTTCCCATTAATATTTTGTACTGCAATTGATCAGTCTCCTATTAGCAAATGCGTATCTTGTGTGGATTGCATCAATATTGCAAGTACATCCAGGTGAGGAATCTTAAATAGGACTAAACGAGTGTTCTAGCCACCAACCATTTTTGCTTATGATTATTTGTAGCATAATATCACCTATTTCTAATGACATTTTCAAATTTCCGTTACATCTGTGAATGAGAGTTATAAAAATAATATAGAAACACTTGTCTATTTTAGAAAAAAACGTATAAAACTAGATAAATATTACATTCATTTGGTGTTGTTTTAAGTGTATCTTCCCATTATTGTTTAGGACTGCAATTGATCAGTCTCTTGTTGGTCTATGTGCATCCTGTGCGGACTGCCTCGATATTGCCTTAAGTCACAAGCATTATAAGCAAAAATAGATAGTGGCTAGCAGTGGAATCCAGTTTGACGCGTGTTTCGTCCTGTTTGAGTCTCGTCAGCTAGATGTACCTGCATATCAGAGTTGAGATATATCGAGCTAGTCCGCACAGGTTGAACATATACCAACAAGAGATTGATCAATTACAGTCCTAAATAACAATGAAAAGATACAATTAAACAATGTGAAGTGAATTTCAGTCGTTTAATGTTTAAATATACATAGTTTCTTTTATTTTAATGATAATTTATTGTCCAATTCAAAATAAAAGAAGACATATTGAATTGTTGCGATGATCACTAGATACGTTATGAAGCACTACATTTGTCAATTTCTTGTCTAATTTGTTCAGAATAATCTAGATAATTGTAGTGATTGTCAACATTTAAACTGACATAAATTTTATTTATCTACACAATTTTACTTTATATAATGTAGTTTACTGACCTTGATTTTATTTTTAATACATAATCAAAATAAAATAGATTTCTGTCTACGTTTAAACTGATGTCGCATAAACTGACGTGAAATCATTGTTTTTTTTATAAAAAATACTTTGAAATACTTTTCAATAAAAGTAAATCTTTGCTTATGAAGTATGTGAATTCAGGTAATATCAAGGTAGTCCGCATAGGATGCACATATACCAACAAGTGATTGATCAATTGCAGTCATAAATAACAATAGGAAGATACAAGTAAACAACACCAAGTGAATTTAAACTTCACCCCATTGCACAAGCAAGTGGCGATCAGAACTCAGTAGCTAAGTGGAGAACGCGATGGCGTTTGAACCGAACGGTATTGGGTTCGTGTCCAAGAGTGAACATCAACTTTGACATACAAGCATATTCAGCTAATGAGTCCCAAATAGGACGAAACGTGCATCCTCGATGCCACTGCTATCTACTAACCATCTTAGATTATAAAATTAAATACTGTCAATATTTACCTAATCATATTTACTGTCATTTAGTTGAGACTATAATTTATGAACGAACCAGTCAGATTTAGGATCACAGGTTTAGGATTTCGGTGCGAAATTCATTTATCCATTTGTCTAAATAGTGTTTTGTTATTTAAGCTTATGTCGATTCGTGATTGAAACCATAAATTCAATGCCTAACTCTAATCATCAATTGTAAATCATAATCTTTATTCTTCACACAGATTTATAACCCTCATTTAGCTCTAGTAAGTAGGTGAACATTCTCAAGGTCACTGGTGCGTCGCTCAAATGTCGTTCATAAATTATAGTGTCACCAAAATTGGAATAAAACACTATTCAGAATAGATTTCTGGAATCTCGCGAGGTGGGATCGTGGATACGCATAGCTGGAGAGTACCATACTATGACGAAACAGCTTTCCAGTTCTTCCAGGTTTTCCAAGATTGTCTAGCTTCGATCGATTCCTGAATTAGTATAATATCCACAAAACCCCTCTTTGATCATTTGTACATATTTTACTGCTTAGATTTCAACAAAATTATCCTTTATCTTATCTTTATCGTTTATTAGAGTAAACTTAATCTTTCTCTTATTATAAATAATATGAGAGTGATATAGATATCTCATGATATGAACCATTATTCAAATACAATTACATTCATCTAATAAGTTTCTAAGCAGTAAAATCACTTTCAGTGTACATGCTTCTTTAAAAATTTAACCAATTAACTCCATCTCCTCAGCATCCTTTAAAAATGTAGTAATAGTTTGCATATATTTCATGAATTAAATGGATTGATATTATTTTTTAACTGGTAATCAAACAGAAAATTGATTAAAGGTTTTGGTTTCTTTCTCAATCAACTGAAATAATAATTAAGTAATCTATTCATTAGTTTTGTGTTAAGTAACATGATGTTACACGTTCTATATGTTTAACCATTAGCACTGATTAAATTATAATACCTTTCATACATTTTTATTCAAATTAGATCTTTTTCTAGAAATCCTTACTTAAAATATTTTCATAGTTAGCGTTTTTTTTAGTGCGTTAGTCTTCTATGGGGTAGGGTTACTAACCCCGTCTTTTATCCGGGCCTGGGACTGGCAGTAGCCCCAAAGGGGCTCCAGGTGAAATTTTTCTATAAATCCCTTTAATATTTAAATTTTTTATAAAACTATATTAATTTATTGTGGAATTGCAATCTAAATAACAGAGAGTTGAGCAATCGAGATACAAAATATACATTGAGATATAGCAGATTACTTCATAGTATATGGGTAAGAGAGTGATTCTCTAATATTAAGAAAACATATTTTCAAACTCATAAGTTGTGTATATTGTGGGTACAGAAGTTTCTAACTTCTGTACTGAGAATTCCAACTTTTATCATTGAAATGAATTATATGTTACATGATTGTTCATGTTCTTGCCGACGTTTTTGAAACTTTTTGTTACATGTTATATTTATGTAGATTTGATTTTAAGATATCTCTATTTATCTTATTGATTTTGAGTGTCCTGTTATAGTCATGGAGTACAATGTATCTGCTTTCATGTTAAAATCCATATAGGTATTTCTTCATTTAACGTTATTATTAGTGTCCTATTATGTGATCATAAAAATAAACTTTGATGTATTTGATACAAGAAATCCTGGTTTGATGTACAGAAGAATCGATAGCAGATACTATGAAGATTAACCTTATTATGTTAATACAATTATTTCCCTAAGTATCTGAAATAGATCTTGGAGACTACAAAAATAGAGTTCTTGATTAGGTTTTCTACAAATTCCAGCATTCAACGAGAAATTACTGAATCGACTGTGTACATTAGAAAATAAATTAGCCTAATTGCGTACTTTTTTCGAGGAGAAATGTTCGAGTTAAAAACATTTATGATATCAATAATTATAAAATATCTTACAGAAGATCTGAATGGTCTCGTTGCTTGTCTTCGTTTTTTTCTTCGAAGATACACTCAAACTAATACGTGACTAATTACAACATGGACTGATCTTAACTAGATAACCATTGAAAATTAGGTCATGTATTTCGTACTTGTATAGGATTATTCAACTAGCCTCCAACAGCAGTTAAACTAAAGACTATCAGTTCTCATATCGAGAGCTTAACTTTTAGACTACCAAGTTGATATCCAGTGGTTTACATGTCTAAATTTAACTAGTTCGCAATATTAATATGGTTGAAAATTTATGAAATGGATTGTGCATAATAAACTAATAGACTGAACCAAGTTTATCCATAGTGTTTTAGTGTTTAATGGATGTTCTGAATCCATCATCTTCAGGCGTTTCCTCTTTCAGAAAGTGAACGAATGATATATATTAAAGTGGAATATTCCCAAAAATCTCCATTTCAGGCGTCTGGAATTACCCACAGACATCTGCTCTTGGTATATCGGTGAAGATAACCTCAATTATATTGGGTTAAAGACACAAATATAGTAGAACTTGATGACTAAAATGAGATTTTTAGTCAAAACTATACACTAAATGAACTGTTAAACTGCTGAAAAGTACATCCAGTAGAATTGTTGAACATTAAAAACGTTGATAACATTAGTCTTTAACATGAGAACATATGGATCCAATCCAAGTGATTTTAAACCTCTCATCTTCCATAATCCTTTTCTGCATCCATTCTTAAAGCCACTAAATGAATTTTCTTAGACTTCAAGTGTTGAATTTTTTTCCAAGTGTTATATAAGATTAATTAATATTTGATCATGAATGATTGATATTATAAACATTCCTGTTTACACATAATGTATAATCATCAAGGTTTTCTACTGTTTGTTTATTATCCATTACATGAATTCTATCTTATTGGGAACTGTCACGTGAATGGATCTTATTCTCAGAGCTTTTTGTTTACGTATAGACTCTAATCCATTATTCATCAATTCAGATTCCAGAAGCCACAAAATGTATTAAGGGAATATAATAAAACATGTCACTAAAAGTAATATCGAGGCATCCGTTCAAGTTGTAAATATTTCAAAAGAGATTAATCAAATAGAGTTCGTAAGATCAACAACAGTAAAGCACAAATCTATCAAAATATCAAAATCTTCATCTAAAAATAGATTATTGAATTTAGTTTACTGGTTATGTGTTATTTATTTTTAATGGTAGAATCATAATGTTGACTAATCCTATGGTAGTGTGGTGTGGGTTACTTATATCCACATAAGTAGTATATAAGATAATTCGTGGTCAGGAATAGAATGTATTTCAGTAAAAGATCGATAAGGATAGAACAGGAACGGAACGCGATTGGTATGAAAATGCATAAAAGATGAAATATGAGACAACTGACTGATATTTTCAAAAAGAACAGTCATGTTTGAGACGTTGGATTGATATTTTGCAAATTAATGATTTTAGTGAGATGCTCTGTAATTTTGTGTTCGAATGCATTCGATTGTCCCCATTTGTGACATTGTTTACTACAGTAGCATTAGAGGCAATAAGTTGGTAAAGACTAATAAAGTTAATTTATGTTTAGTGTATGTAACTTTAGTTCACATTATGAGGCATTTGTTATCACTTTGTTTATAAATAGTCTGAAATTTTTTATTTGATAAATTTTCGGATATTTGTCGATTTTCACAGTTAAAATCACAAGTCAGTCTAAGTGGAATCGTGGATGAGTACTGCTAAAGAGTCCTATACTAGGACGAAACGGTTATCCACTACTTCCAGGTTCTCACTGGTGGTTTCACTTAGATCAACTTGTGATGTCAACTCTGAAAATACTACAATCTCCACAGACCCCCCATACTAATTTAATAATTACTTGCATATGTACAACTCGTAGTTTAAGAAGAAAATATCTAAAACTTAGATTCACAGCATTAGATACCATCTCAATAACCTAAAGATTATACACTTTCCTCGAGACCAATAGAATAAAGCACTTAACAAATACTTCGTAGTATCCAATGGTTCCCTATTTCATCAACTACTTATATCGTTTTAAAATTTGCTTGTATTTTTTGTAGATAATAGATCTTTATAAACTGCGTAGTTTTCTTTCCACCTAATCTCACAAATCATTATATCTGAATAGATACTGATGACACTTCGAATATTTATTGAGAGGGTTATTTAGTAATACATTTAATATGATATTAGCAATACACATGTACATTATCGAATGCTTACTAAGCAATAATTCTTAATTCATATGTATATTGGTTGCTCGGATCATCCCATTGATGTTTAGAACTACAATTATTCAGTCTTTTTTTACAGGTGTGGATTCTGCATAGATTGCCTCGATATTAGCCATAAGTTACAGGCATTATAAGGTAAGTTATATGGTAGCTTGCAGTGAAATCCAGGATGATCTTTTCATGCTATTCAGGACTTGTCAGTTAAATTTATCTCCATCCTAGAGTTTGAAGCGAATGATACTGGGTTCGAGTCCCAGAATAAACATAAACTCTGCAGGTACATCCGTATGACGATTCCAAAATGAAACGAAATATGTGTCCTAGATTCCATTGCTAGCCACTATGCACTTCTGATTAAAAATATTTCTTTCTGTTGTGATACTTATAGTTGCACAGGTCATGGGTGAGTAAACTCTTAGGTTTCGCGACAATAGCAATGTAATTAAACAGCCTAATTAGTATTCATCTGTCAGCATTTCCGCTTTTAATTGATTAATCTTATGTGGCAACCTTAATCCAATACCACTGATGATAACTATTCTTGTGTTGAAAGTATGGAGAGATCTGTTAGACTAAAAGTGATTATCAAGTATATTTTACGCTTACAAAAATCTGTCTACTTGCTAACTAAATAATACAAAGTAATCATATAACCTATATCAATTATTCATCCTGATGAATGGCTTACTACGACATTCTTTCTAAGATACACAATTTTTAACAAAGTACATTACCAATTTATGTATTTTCCCTTCGTATAAATGCGTTAAACTCAAGATAATCAAATCAAACTACCTATTCAATCAAAGAGCAGGTATTGAGTAAACATGACGTACTTATTTTAGTATGTGATTGGCAGTGGAATCTAGAACACGTACTTTGTACTATTTGACTTTCGTCAATTGAATGTACCTGAATTTTGGTATTGCATCGACGAAACATGTATTCTGGATTCTACTGCTAGTTCCATAACGAAAATAAACTAAAACTTGTTACATGACGCTATAATGATACAATCTACTTCGGATGATCATAATACAACAGAGATTAGTCAATCCTAGTCTTAAATGTATTAATAATAAAAAAAATACAAGATTTACATAGACCTACATAGTTGTCACTACCTCAGAAAATACTCCCCTAATCTAATCAGAATTACACAGTGAGCATAATAGAGACTATAAAAGAGGGAAGATAAATTACCCATTTTTTATAAACTGAATAAATCATAAACAATTTGTATCAATAACAAGTTGATAATACCAAATAATGATTTTAACTAATAAGTAAATGGAGTGGAATAGACAAAAGAATAATGTGTCTTTCTGCTTCACTGAATACTTTTCTGTTGTATTCGCTATTTTCTTGTTGTAACTGAGTCTTTGGTAATTATTAATTAGTATCTTTTTATATACATAGTCATTGAATGAATAAGTTCTAATCTTGTTAGTTCTATATATATATATATATATATATATATATATATATATATATATATATATATATATATATATATATATATATATATATATATAAACCTCATATAGTAATTTCTTAAAATGATGTATTAGAAACACTAATTTTACGATGGACAAACAATTATACCTATTGAATGAAAATAGTTTGATATGTTTTAAATTTTCAAAATGTATTAATCCAATAATTGAATTCAAAAGTCAATTGAACCTAGACCATCATGGAAAGCGTGAAAACTCTGGACAGCCGTCTCATCCTAGTATAGGACTTCTCAGCAGTGTGCATCCAAGATCCCGCCTCGCGACATTCGAACCCAGGACCTATCAGTCCCATGCTCGAATGCTTTATTTATTTCGTTACAAATTCATTACTTTGTCAATTTTATTCATGTAATATAACAATGAATAAGGTAACAAACATTTAATAATTTCAGGGATAATATTCTCAAATCTGTATTTATTTACAATGTTACGACTTCGGGATTACAAGTTTCAGAATGATAGTTATTTATAGAAGCAACGTCTTTTGTTTTATGTCTCAATATATATTTAACAGTTTCTTTTTAAAGGGATAAAATAAAGCTGCTGAAATACGTAACACGAAGTTGTTTCTGTAGTGCCGACTCAATGTCATATTTAAACAAGGCGAGTTTATAATTTATGGACGAACCAATCAGAGATGAGATAACAGATATTGAATTTTGGCTCGAAATCCAATTATTCGTATGATTAAATAATGTTTTGACCTTTAGCAATTTATGTAAATTCGTAATGAAAACCGTAACCAACAACTGTAAATCCTAATTTCAATTCCTCATAGTGCTTTATAGCCCTCATTTAGTCCTAGTGAATAGGTGGATATTCTCAAAGTCACTTCAGCGTCTCTCGAAGTTCGTCCATAAATTATAGTCCCGCCTTAAATGCCTTGGAAATGATGTTTAAAAACTTTTTGTATTGTCTACCAGTTGTAAAAGTTATTTAGGTTCAGTTATTTGAAATGTCAGTAAAATAGTTTGTTAAATTTAGTTTAAACTAAAGTCTATGTTTTAAGAAAGAGATCACACATGGATATGTTATCTATGATTTGACTATTTACAACGTGAAATGATTGTTCGAGAACGGTATCATCAAGCCCTGGACAATTGTTTTGATCTGGTATGGGAATCATTAACAGCGAACACGTACAATTCTAACTTGAAGATTAAACATAGGTTTAAAAGTCAGTGCGTCACCTTTAAACCATTGAGATTTATGCCAGTTGTTTAACTTCTGTCAGTCGAGGTAGTGGCACAATTAGTGAGTATTATATGTGCATAGTTTCGTGGTTGACAAAGTTGAGCTAATATGACATGAGCTGTTTCTAGGAATTCAGTAGTTTAACCTATACTATGTCTATAGTTAGCCAATGACTACTATTTCAATAAAATCAGTCTACTGTTTTAAATCACCTGTACTAATGTGTTACTGTCAACTCAATAGGATTGAAATTGTAGTAAATGTATTACTTTCATCATTCTACTAACGGTTGTAAATTTACCATTGAACAAATTGAATTGATAACATCTGAAATTTTTATAATTTCAGTTAATATGCCATTTTAATCTCAATTTAAATACATTAAAGTTGATGTTTTAACTTCTACAGTTAGATGACTACAGTAAGTCGATATCCTATTTTCAGTATAGGGTTAAGGGGATTATTAAGCTATTGATTGAGATCATCAACCGATTGATGTTACACCATAATAGAAAACCTGGAAGTACTGGACGGCCTACTCATCCTATTGTGGGACTCCTCAGAAGTTCACATCCAATACCATGCCCTCAGGATTTGGACTCATGACCTTCAGTCTCGTGTGCGAACCCTTAACGTCTAGATCCCTGAGCCGGCATTCAACGGTGTTATTGTCTAACCCCAACCAATCCGCGAAATCGCGCAACTATCTTTCATTGTACTGAGTTAGATACCTGTCTCTAGCCAACATGGATTAGCTCCACTAGTCACGGCTTTTCACTAGAAATCCGAGAATTCCCTGACAAAGCTAGTCACTAGTGAATACATGGTAATTATCAGTATAGGCTTGTGAAGATTATTTGTCTACATGATCTGTGATTTATGAATTAGATTTTTATTTATATCTTAAAGTAGTAGAATTGTTCTATAACTAAAATCATCATTTAAGGCATGTGCATTTAGAATTGTCGAACAAAGTCTTGGGGATCTACAATATCGTGCTCTTGAACACCTCTTGATGTGGCTAAGCAAAGGTCTAGTAAAAATACGTAAACAGCTCAATATTAGCCTATTTAGTACAAACTAGTTATAATGTACATTACCTTTAACCTGACCATTTTTCAGATTATTAATTTAGATAATATGAATTGTAGGAATCTGAAAAGAATTTATCAATATATATATATATATATATATATATATATATATATATATATATATATATATATATTCTTGTTCAATATATTACTCATTTAATATAATAGAAATCTGTAAATTATTAAAATTGGTTGGAACCAATCAATATCTAGGTGTACAGAACAAGCTGTGAAACGCATACGGAGAAATTCGAACACTTCACTTCTATCTGAAGTTTGTGCTGGTGATGTCGTTCAGAAGAACGATGAAAGTTCCACGACCAAAACATTCAGCTCAGAAAGCAAAACTCCATCGAAATCATCCACCTGAGCTACAAATCTTCTCCATCATCTCAAAATAAGATTATACATGAAAAAGAATATATATCTAAAATAATTCCAATGTTTCGTCCAATAAACTTGTTTGAACTTCTTCAGAAAAATTTTAATCTTCCGAATTTCATTATTTTTCTTTTTTTTAGAATAATACATGTCTCTATATTGAATGGATTTATATACAATCAAGAAATAATTCATATACATCAATGGATATAACTAATTTTAAAGATATAACATTCATTATAATCTATCGTAATTTATCTGAGTATCCAATTGAAAGAAAATCATTATTAGAAATATGGACTAAATTTATATTAAATGATGCAAAACAATTTCCGATTGATTTATCTAAAATCAATCAATTAGGTGATTTATATATACGTCGAATAAATGGAGATAGTTCATTGAAAGGATATTTACTTGATGGATTACAATCTAATGTTACATATGCAGTAAGTTTAATAAATATTAGAATTAGAATTACTATTATATATTTACTATTGCTATTATCTTATTGTATACTACTTATATTTAATAGATGTAAGTAGTATGTAACGCTAATCAAAAGTGGAAGAAGATTGAATTTCATACAATTAGTTCCATTTATGAATTTACATAAAGCTAGAACAAATGTGAAAACAGTTCTACTGTATGGGGCAGAAACTTGGAGAACTACGAAAGTCATAATCCAGAAGATCCAAGTGTTTATTAACAGCTGTCTACTCAAAATACTTCGGATCCGTTGGCCGGACATTATTATCAACAATCTTCTGTGGGAGAGAACAAACTAGATGCTAGCGGAGGAAGAAATCAGAAAGAAGCGCTGCAAGTGGATAGGATACACATTGAGGAAAGCACCGAATTACGTCACAAGACAAGCCCCCACCTGGGATCCTCAAGACCAAAGAACACATTACACCGGGAAATGGAGATAAACATGAGAAAAATGAACAAGAAATGGATGTAACTAAAAAATACGGCCCAGGACAGAGTGGGTTGTAGAATACTGATCGGCGGCCTATGCTCCATTAGGAGTAACAGGCATAAGTAAGTAAGTAAGAACAAATATGGATGCAGAAAAGTATGAGTTCATTTTATTTCGAGGTCTCTCATCAGCTGCTTACAACCAAATATATATAATTTAATATTGAGGTAAGATATAGTCTGAAACAATTAACATAAGTGAATGTAAATAATTGGAAGGACGAAACTTATAGATGATAACTATATATATATATATATATATATATATATATATATATATATATATATATATATATATATATATATATGGTTTTAGAATCAAGGTACCAATTAAGGATGGGCGGTGTAATAGTTGAGTGGAGTTCAGAGACAAATAGGATAAATTGTGTGATAATTTTAGAGGTAACGAAGGATCCATGGGATTAAACACTGATAAGATAGGTTATGTAATAATTGAATAGAATTTGAAAACTTCACATAATTTAAGATGATCAAGTGAGCGTAAATGTGTGAATGAAAGGGTGGTTTAAGAATTCAGTAATGGGAGAGGAATATAACACAAAATAAATATTAAAAAAAATAAAATAAAATAACACAAATAACCAAAACATAAAAAAATGGAGTACTAGGGTAATAATAAGTTTATTACTGTCTCTTTTTGAATACATAAGTCCGGTTTAAATTTTTCTTTATCACGATCGCTTCAGCAAAACGGAGATCAGCCATACTTCTTTGTCTGTTGATAATTTTAAAAGCATGCGTAATGTCGATGGTATGCCCGGTATCAAGTAAATGCCAAGCTATTGCACTGTTGAGAGCCCTAATCCCTCACAACCTCAATTTCTTTGGAAAATACTCAGAAATGAGAACATGTACTCTTGAATTGAAGAAAACATTTTAAAAAAATTAAGAATTAAAAGAATCATGAAGGATATGAAAGACAACTAATGGAAGATATACATATGAATTATTTGATGTATGGTTTTTATAAATAATGATGACACTTTAATTTTGTACGAAACAATAAATTGATTTTCTCTTATTTACGTATTCGTTCACTATACTGTTAATACCATAATCAATTTTTATTATAATACTGAAAAGAAGAGTTATTCAATCAACTAAAATGAAATATGATTTTGGACTTTGCTATTTTTACTGATAATCAAAGAAATTTCAACAGTTGAGATCATAAGTCAATTGAAGCCAGATCGTCATGGAAAACCTGGAAGTATTGGATGGCCGTTTCATCCTATTGTGGGATTCCTCAGTAAAGCTTATCCATGATCCCACCCTCCACGAGATTCGACCTATCAGTGTACTCCCTGATAGGAGATCAATTCCTAAAAATTGAATCGACCAGAGCATTATTTCCATCAGTAGGTCTATAATGAAGTTAAACAAAAAAAAAAAAATAACGAAAGTGGACAACCTTGACGTACACCACTTAAGGTTGCAAAAACAGATGACAGTTCACCATAAGCTTTAACTCAACTAATAGTGTTCAAGTAAAGAACCTTTTTTTAAACTTACTAGTTTGTTTCATTTTTAGGTATCTGTTTATATTGAAGTTACAAAAATTTATCATTATCAACATCAAAAATATTTTACTCGTTTAAGTAATGAAGCTGTTCAAAAAACTTTACCAAATATTATTTCATCATTAAATAATGAAAATAATTTTCTTGCAAATAATTCAACTAATGAAAATGTAAATAAATTGGCGGTAAGTAATAATTTATATTCATTTTATGAAATAATATATTCAGTTAATAATATAACCAATAGTTCAATGATTTATATTGGCTTAAATTGTTGTTTGTTTATCACTCCTTACAATGGTTTTGATTATCTATGATTAACATACATATATGATGGTGAAGAACTCCTCCTGGAGTCTCTCCGGGGGCTACTGCTGGTCCCAAGCCCGGATAAAGGAGGAGGGTTGGGCATGGGGTTAGCGACCCCATTCTGTAGAAAACTAACTCGCTAAAAAAAACGCTAACCAGAAAAAATTATTCAAATTATTTGAACTCTGCCCTGGGAGTTAGAAGGTCTTTATTTAGAAGAGTTATAACGCTTCGTGATGAAAGCCGAGTTCCTTCGGAAGTGACGAGGCCGATACCACTTCTGACAACCAGAGCAACCATTTATTTAGGTAAATGGAATGTTCGTACAATGTTGGAGACTGGGAGTGTCTTCGAAATTTCTGCATGATAGTGAAGATTTGTAGCTCAGGTAGATAATATTAATGGAATTTTATTCTATAAGCTGAATAGTTTAGTCAAATAATAGTAAATCATAGAGCTTCCTGTTTGATTCATTCATTATTACAATTAAAGATGTTATTTTTGAGATATTTGAGTTAAAAGATCAATTTTCAGTAAAAACTAAGTTTACATATCTCAAGGATTATACTCAGCATACATATGTGATTGTGAGGGATAATCCTGTAATACTGAAAGTTATGATAAGCATATTAGTTTTAAATAATAGGAGGAATTTATATTTATTTGAACTTAAGATTTTTCAAACTTTGGATGCATTTTTATATAAACAGTATAATAGATGTAATATATTTGAATTTTCAGTATGACGTTGTGGAGATTTCTGGATTGAAATTATGAACCGATCTAAGTTAGACTATCATTAAAAACCTGGAATCGCTGGACGGCCTTGCATTTCTAATATAGGAATGCTCAGCAGTACACATGCATGACCTCTCCAGCCCAGTGGTTTGAAGATTAATTGTTCATGCGCCCGACCAAAGGCGTTGGGTACGATTCCAGTGTTTGGGACCATCGATGAGCACTACTGAGTAGTCCCGTACTAGAACGAAACGGCCGTCAAGTGTTTCTAGGTTTTAATTGGTGATCTAGCCTAGATTAGTTCATGGTTTCAATGATACTCAAATTTTATGATGCATTGGAATTCAGACTACTCGTTTATCTTCATCCGAGACTTTTCAGCATTTAATGTGCACTAATTATGTTGACAGATATAAGTAGTATGTAACACCAATTAAAAGTGGGATGCCTGTCAGTGGAAGATTGAGAAGATCGAATAGAAGAGAACCGAGAGTGATTGGTATGGAAACAAAGGGATAACAAACATTGGGACAATTGATGGATAATTTGTGATAAGTCTTGCAATTTGAACGCTATACTCGGTTCGTAAGCTATTCTTGTAACCCCCAAGCTAGAACTATACAGCGACCTGAACACGAGAGAGAAAGCGCAAAGTATGCGAAAAGTACTTTACTTCAAGGTTTATAATATTCTAAATGTCCTTGGGTTGCTCGAAGGTTCTGGAATGCTATGAAACATAGTAGCAGTTCAACAATCAGCCAATCAGAACACCTACATGTGACGTTTCATATCTTTGATGTTTCTGGCTAAACTCCAAGTGAACGCTGATTGGGTGAAATGCTTGTTAGTGTTTCCTGATCCTTGCGTGCCTTTTGCGAGAAATTTTCTGGATCACCCCAATAATTTGCAAATAAAGTATTGATTATGTACTGTTCACATTTCACCAAATAATCCTGTAATTTTATTTTCAAATATATTTGGTTGTCCTTGCCTATGTTCTTGTCCACTACAAGCAGACTACATCCCGGTGAAGACATCCACATTGAGATTCGAACCCGGTACTATTGGCTTTGAACGTTTCAGGAGAACATAATACAAATAGCTATACATAGAGAATTCACTCAGAATGTTCATATGACGACATAGGTTGACCAATTTCAGTCCCTTATTTCAACAGTGAGGAACTATAAACCAATACTGATATGATAAATAATCAAGACTCTTACCTAAATGATTGCATAATTTGTTTTCTAAGTTTGGCATAGAATAAATTATAATATATTTATCATTGTCTTACTGAATTAAATATACATCGGATACTGTATCATTTAAAATCTATTACTTATTAATGTTTGCTTTTTCTCATTCTACACAGGATTCATTTGTTCAATCAACATCAAATATAAAGTCTAAAATGACAGGACAAGTTGGCAATAAAAATGATTTAACTGGTAAATTAACTAAAAGTTATCAACATGACAGTTATGTTTTAATTGTAATACTTGGTTCACTCGCTGGTGTATTACTAATTATATTCATTGCACTAATCACATTTTGTATATGGTATCGATTACATTTGAAATCTCGATATCCTAGAGGTATGTGTTCAACATTTGACTTGTATTTGTAATTGTTTTTGCTGAAATAATGTAGTTTTACATAAATAGAAGAATTTCATATATTTCATGATTTTATTCCTTTATATTACCTGTTGATACTTGATAGTGTGTAGGTCTCGTCAAGATACAGCAATCACCAGGTACTTCAATTGATTTATTGTAAATGGACTACAAACAATTTATTATGAATTCATTCACTGATTGAATTTTTGTTCCATAAGCCAAATATCTTAATATGTTGACTTTATATAGAATGACTTAGAAGAAGAAGAAATAGGTACATACGAAATTGAGTAAGATCTTCAATAGCGAACTTTTCAGTTAATCAACTAGCTTCAAGATGAATTTTCTAGAGTTATATTGCAAAGCCTTGACCTTGGGGTTCAACCATGTCTATTGTGAGGCAGTTACTCACTGAAGACAATAGAGGGTGATCGCGTAATTTCGTGGATTGATTGAAGTTGAATATTGACACCGTTGGATGTTAGCTCAGTGGTCTAGAGATTAAGATTCCGCGCGCGATACCGAGGGTCCTGGGGTTCAAGTCCTGTGTTCAGGATTGCGGTTGCCTACTGCTAAGAAGTTCCACGCTAGAACCTAGATCACCGTCTAATGCTTCCAGGTTTTCTATAGTGGTTTAGCATTGATCCATTCATGATATCAGTCTAAACTCAACAATCTCTACAACCCTACGCTGGTACTGAATTTCTTGTTTATTGATTAAAGCATCAAGAAATGTACTTGATAGTCTTAATCAATTACAAGTGTATTGACTAGAAATTTATCTTGTTATATTTTCACTTGACCCCTCAAAAGTTTTACAATAAGTGTGTACCTGATTTATTAATTAGTTTCCTTGTGGAGGTAGACAGTGTGTAATTTTGCGAACAATCTCAGTTTCTATATTAATAATTAACTATAAAATTTCAATACGTCTGCAGTAAAACTTTCGTTTAATTGTTATTTAAATGATGTGTAGATGATAAATTGACTATATTTTGATGGAGTTTTGTTTTCTGAGCTGGATGGTAAGGTTGTAGAGCTTTCATCGTTCTTCTGAACGACATCATCAGCAAAAACTTCAGGTAGAAATGAAATGTTTCACGACCAAGCCACTCAGCTCAGAGAACAAAACTCCATCAGAATCACTCATCTAAGCTACAAGTCTTCACTTACTCAAAATGACTATCATTTACTTATTATTACATAACTAGACATATAATAACAGTTTGTGCTGAAAAATGAATTCCAATTATTGATCATCTACAAACACATCCAGTTTGAAATAATGATTAGTTGAGTTTTTGTAGATCAGTTTAAGATTAAGTTGAAACGCTTCAGAAATAAGGTGTACTGGATAAATTTTCTGTATAAATATTTCTGGGCTAAACATGACAGGTATCCATATATATTCGATTGGGTGATATCATACTACAGCACTGAATGATCAATGTTGGAAATATAGATCAAAGGATACTAACTCATGAACACTCACGTAGTTTGCTTGTCACAAGACTTAAGGGTCCTGCGTTTGAACCCTGATAAAATTGTGTCCAAAGCCACTTAAGCGTTTTCACGGTGGAGCAGAAGAGTTGCTAAATATTCATTCGTTTTCAATGATTTCTCAGTTGGTCTGTACGTACAACAAGATTCACCTTGACCCTACTAATGATTTCGAAATCGATATAATTTAGGACATTACACAAAAATATTGGCAACATTAATTTTTCAATAAATTCGTTAAGTAGTTTTATACTATATACTATGTATGTGAATTACTTAATCAGTTAAGATGGCTGGGACATGTGTTGCGCATGCCCGACCACCGATTGCCACGACGTGCGATACTTTTTGGTGTAGGAGTAGGTTGGAAGAAAGCTAGGGGCGGCCAGACCAAAACATGGCACAAATCCATGAGGTCACTGGCAAATGGACTGAGCCATGTTGGTAGGTGTAGACTACCTGATTGGGGACCGTGAGATGATATCAAGAGATGGTTAGAGACCTTGAATGACATGGCTCAAAATCGTTTTCAATGACGCAGGTGCATCCACTCTTTGTGTTCTCCTAAATTCTAATCTTCTGAGTTCTTCATGTCGTTTATTTTCTTTCCGAATCTATTCCACTGGATTATACTCCTTAAATAACATCTTAAAACCCTAATGTTCCCTATCACTACTTATACTTTCACTACCTCTACCACTACGGGATTTGAATCGATAACTGAATCTCTGTGTTAATGTGGTATGGCAACTCGAAATGACGTACGTACGTACGAAGTTCCACGTTGTTACTGACTGACTGATGTATGTGAATTTAAACTTCACCCCATCGCTCAAGCAAATGACTATCAGGACTCAGTAGCTAAGTGGATAATACGATGGCGTTTAAAGCGAATAATACTGGGTTCGAGTCCTAGAGTGAACATCAATTCCGAGATGCAATATATCTAGCTAAACAATTCCAAATAAGACACTACTAGCAACTACCCATCTCTGCTTAGAATGCTTGTAAATTAAGTCTATATCGAGGTGGTCCGCACAGTATGCACAAATGTCAATCAGAGACTGATCAATTACAGTTCTAAACATCAATAAGAAAATTAAAGAAAACAATACCAGGTGAATATATACTTTTAATGATGAAACGATTCTGCTTGATTTCAAATATTTTCATATTTAATATATCTGTTAAATAAAATTGAATAGAAATAGGTTGATGACTCTTTATTATGTCAGATAGATCAAATCCTTGAGATAATGATCTCATTGCTGGTTCGTAGACACTTATGGTTAGAAAACATTAAAGTGAAACTTTTCACATTATCAAAATTCATTTCGTACTATTGAAATTTTTATGAAATTCATAAATAATCATAGATTTATTTTATTGAAACTGATACACTATCCAGTCTTATAGAAAAAGGTACTTTATATTGACTACACTAATTAAGACAACCTGATTGTTTCATTATTTAAAATATAATTACAATGTACTGCATAAAATGTTTCATCATTAGGCTATTTTGGTGGCTTCAGTGATTCACAATTAACTGAAACTCCAAAGCAAAGAACAATCAATGAATGGGAAAACTTTCAATCTCAACCAATTTCAACAACTGATAATCATCAAACATTTCCACGTACTGTAGGTAATCTTCATCTACAATCTTTAGGTGATAAACAAAATCTGGTTACAGATTTGAATAATTTTGCTACATTACAACATCCAACACAGTGGATACAACAGTCTCAAGTACCATGTGAAAGAAATTGTAGGAAATCTATGGTTCTTGATGAAACACTGAAGACATATTGGCCAATTATAAATTCTAACGAAGCACAAGTAGCATTTATGAAAAATAATCATGAAAACGTAATACATGGTTCTCCATTACTTCCAATTTACAAAGATTATTTACTGAAACAGGCAAAGCATCCATCAATTAATGGTACCTTCTCAGATGGTCAAGAAGGCAATCAAATTGGGAGTTTAGATGGAATATTTCAAGATATCACTGTTGGAGAGCAGTTCACTAGTGCAAACAAACTTTCAAACAAGGATAATCAACTTACAAATGACCAGGTAACTACTGTTTAATAAATGTTTTTTCAAAGCTACATTTCATCACAAATGTCTTGACATCGAGTAAAAACGCGTTTTTAATCACTGTAATAAGTCTTTTACTATAACGTTTAGATGATGACTTCCTAACTGCCACTTAGTATTCCAATCTTGAATTTCAGACAGGAAACAAAGGGTAAGATGTATGAAAGATCTTTTGCACAGAATATGAGGGTCATTATACAATCGAATATGGCTTGAGACTCACAAAATGACTGAAATACATGATAAAACTGATAAGTAAGTCAGTAATTCTTTAATCAGGATGATGGAAATGCAATTCATCGACTCCTAAAAATTCTCAATATAGGTACCCTAAGAACACTCACTCATCGGAGTAATTTGATTACTTTCTTGGATTCAAAAGACACTTTCGAGAAAGTATCATAGTTTCCAGTGATACATTGCAGCCACATGATATTTATTTACAATATTCCATTTAACTGGTCTGTTAGTTTACTTGGGCTTCATTGTTAGATTATTTCTAATTATCATCCAATTGGTCCGTTATCTTGGTGAATTAAGTTCCTAGCATTTGATTATGTAACATAATATTTTATCCCAGTTCATAAATTTTTTTTTCATTTTTGAATATTTGTAGACTTTATTCACTTTACTTTGTAAATCTATTGATTTTTGTAGTTGTTGTCACGTGAGCCTTGACAACAATTTTACAACGGTTAAAAGTTGCTTTTTTTTAAATCACCCAAATTTCATTTTAGCGCCATGATTTTGTTTTTAGAAATTTATTGAGGATATCAGACTGAAATACAAATTACAGTCTAACATTTTTTAAAATGCAATTAATGTATAATTTATAAAGTTGTTATCACGCAAAGTAATTTATATGTATATATATATAACCAACTGTTAATCACATTCTCTTCACCTAAATCTTATATTCATACAGTATTGGGTAAATACTAATTATGATCTAATTTACACTGCAACATAAAGCATACAACTGAAAAATGTATCTTATATGATGGGTTTTATTCTAAAACAGATTCATTGATTTTGAAAATAGATCAAATTCAGTTTAAATCTAAATTAGTTACTGGTTAGATTAACAATAATAAGATGAAGTTAGGTGTGAAAACAAAACCCCTTTTGATAATAATCAACATACGCTCACTAGTGACTGGCTTCAAAAGGTATATCCTGGAGTTCTAGTGAGAAGTAGTGACCAGTAGAGTTCAACTAGGTCTGTTGTGAGATAGTAACTCACTGAAGACAATGGTGGATGTGTCGCTCAATTTCGTAGATTAGTTGAAGTTAGACATTAACACCGTTGGATGTCGGCTCAGTGGTCTAGTGGTTAGGTGCTCGCGCGCGAAACCAGTAGGTCCTGAGTTCGAATCTCGCAGGGGCCGAGGTCATGGATGCACGCTGCCGAGGAGTTCCATAATAGGACGAAACGGCCGTCCAGTGCTTCCAGGTTTTCCATGGTGGTCTAGCTTCAACTGACTCATGATCTTAACCATAGAAATAATTTTTTCCCAAATAAGAATAAAAAAACTAATTTATGATAATTCATTAGGATGTAACATTCACTAACAAATTATTTCATCAAAACAAAGAACAAACACTAAAGGATAATCATCTTGAACCTTCCTAAGATCAATCATATTTATGAGCTTCTAGAATGAATCTTTGACTAATCCGAGACCTATTATCTTATATTTGATTAGTTCGCCCATAAATTATAGTCTCGCCGGATGAAATTAACACTGGGCCGTGGACAGGATAGCAGATGCGAGATAGAAAAATTGTGATAAGAAATTCTGATTATTGGATTTAGTACATCATATAAATTGGCGTCTAAAGACAACAGAATACCCGAAAAGTTATCTGTCACTTCCTGATTTCTAATAGCCATCCAGTTAAAGAAAGTTTATAGTGGAAACTATTGATTAAATGAACTAAAATATGTAACATGGCTAACTATCTTGTTAGTTAGGTTCTTAGACCTAATTCGGAAAAACAAACTTTCATGGCAAGTAATTTGTGAAGATACAGCTTTCCCTTAAAAACATTCACTTGTGAGATTAATATTGATCATTCTAAAGTCTCTTTGGTCCATGGTCATTTCCCTTTTAAAAAATGCACATTCACAATCTGAGCTTACTTCATCATAGTTTAGAAATCAAATTTTTAAGGGCCATGATGTTTTATTTTAGGTGTGAATAAAGAAAAAAGTTCATATACCCTACTCATTATTTTTATATTAAAACGAAGGATAAAGGTAACACGTTCTTTATATACTTCTAGAAATTACCTTTGAATATTGGTCAAACTAGTACCTACTTTTAGGGCACGCTCAGGTTTATTAACATTCTTATTGAATCATAAGGCAGCTTTCATTATCAGAATTGGTTTTCACTTTAGTCATGTACACAATTCTGAAATATTATATTCGGAATATTTAAAGACTTAAATAAATAGCCATGAAACTTGAAATTTGCTACATCACAATGTTCCTTCGCTTTCAAGTCACGATTCACAATAAACCCTTTATCCTTTTGTTACAAAACATCTGTTAATAATGCTTCATTACTGATGGTTTTGCATTAGAACTACAGGAATTAAATTTTGAAATTGATCACATGTTGAGATATAATGATTATGAATAGTAAAAGAGTGTATTATGAAGGTTATAGGGCATTCATATATTAAGCCATCTATCAGTGACTTAGAGGTTAAAAAGCGTTCATGTATGTCACCAAAAGTTTGTGTCCAACCTAACATGGCGGGTTTATAACTGAGTATCACTGAAGATTCACATACTATGACGAAACAATTGATCAGTGCTTCTTAATTTTCAGTGTTGGTCCAGCTAAAATGAACTGGTGATTTAAATTATGAAGATTCTACGATCTCCATAAAATAACCTATATTCATAATCAAACCACTTCGAGTTGAATTACTTTGAATTGTTACAGCTTATTTTCCTCTGAATGCTTTTGCTCTGTAAGTCTTAGTTCATATCATCCGAATATTTACCACAATTAAAAATAAAATGCTTCATTTACTTCCATTGTTTCACTCGCATATATATATATATATATATATATATATATATATATATATATATATATCACATTCTGACAACAATTCCTGTTTACTCGTTCCACTTCAGTCTTCATCTATCTATTCACATATTGATTCGGATTCAACTGTCAATGAATTATCACAGTTTCACTTGGATAAATTCAATTCAACTTTATCTCCTACAACACCATCTGATTATTCAGGAATTGGTAAAAATATTTTAAATTCTTTACAAAATAACAACAATAACAATATGAATAATAGAAAAGAAATTTCATGTGATTTCTCACAGCCAACTAGTTTATCATACACTGCCAATTCAATCTATCCATTTATCATTAAACCAGATGATCTTGTCAGTTTACCTTTAATAGGACATCAAGGTAAGCAATTATATGCAATAATATATCAATGAGATTATAATTTATGGATGATGTTTGAATGACGTTCGACTGACCTTGAGAGTGTCCACCTAATAGCTAGGACCAAATGAGAATTATAAACCAATGTGAGGAATTAGAATTATGATTTACAATTGATGGTTAAAGTTAGGAAATACATTTAGGGTTTTCATCACGAACTGATATCAGCTGTAATCTTAAAACTTTATTTAAGCAAATGGATGAGTGAATTTTGCGCCAAAATTCGAGACCTATTATCTTTTACCTGATTGGTTCATCCATCAGCTATAGTCTTTCCACATATCTATAAAGTTGAATAATTCCTTTGAAACGCACCAAAAAAAAATGAAAAAAAGAAAAACTAACTCAAAAAGAAACAATTTTTTAATAGAAGAAAAGTTCTCTAATTTAATCATCTATTAATGATGTAAAATTAATTGAAATATCATATGGAGTTATTGTTCTACATAGAATAGTAATGTATATATCATTATGACTTGTTCTATATGTATCGATTGATAGTTCAGTCAATTTTTAAACTTCCTTTTAGTTGCTTTTATTATCGATAAAGTAATTCCTTATCATATTTTTTTCTAAAACAAAACTTTGAAAATTGATATACTAAGGTAATAATTTAGTAAGTCTGTATCTGACTCCACTTAGTTCATATGCTGATTGTCATCGAAATCATACATCCTAGCTGTTTTTGTGTATAATCATCGAGTTAACTCACATTAGTAAATAAGAGGATTAAGTAAGTCAAATATAAGGATGAATTTTGAATATGTATATTTCATACAATCGTTAATCCAGAGAGATGATCACAGAAACGAAGGGAAGAGGAGAGAAAGAAGCGAAATAAAATGATGCGCAGTACAGAAGGTGAATGAGACAAGTCGATATTTATAGTCAAACAAAAATAGGTTACAGACTTATGATGAACAGTGTAAGTAAATAACACACATATGATCATATCAATACAGTTAGGCTTAATAAGCGAATAAATGGTAAGGTCAATAAATGGCTTGAGAAGAATGAATAAATTGGTCTTTCCAGAAGCTAGAATAACCTATGTGGGCTTGACATAGGTACCAGCCACTACAATATTAATTTGTTTTAGTTACTCAATGGTAAATCAGTAGTTTAAAAATTATGAGTATGGGATTGTGGAGATTATCAAGTTTTTGATTGAGATCATGAACCGGTTAATGTTAGACTATCGTTGAAAACCTGGAAGTATTGAAGGGACTCTTCGTTAGATGACAGCTCAGTGGTCTATAGGTCAAACGTTCACGCACGAGATCCCGCTAGCCGGATCGTGGATGAGTAAACCTTTTTCACAAACGCACCTAAATAGGTTATGAAACTAATAGGCATAATGATATGTTAAAACAAATAAGAAAACAGATAACTTATTGAGATATGTTAATGTTAGAAACAGATAACCAAGATATTCAAGTAGGCCGCCTTTTTAATTGAATTTCATACAATTATCTGTTTGAATAAATGTCCGTAAAGTACACATAACAAATCTTGTGGGACAAATTGAATTCATTTCATCTTCTATCCTTTAAATCTTCCATGTAATCAATAAATTGTTCAAGTGAATAAAATGTTTCACAGATATAGATTTTATGTTAACATAAGAAAATTCCTTATAATTATCTTTTATTATTCAAACAAATATAATTTATTGACGAATGGAATAAATGAGACAGAATACATGACGTAACTGTACACAAGTAACATATACACATTGATATTAATGCGCGAGACGAAATAATAAGACTGATGTTGATTATCAAGACAATGAAAGGGTAGTCATAATGATGATAACAATGATAAAATTGGTTATTAGTATTATTATTATTATATCCATAGTTAGATCACGAACTAGTTTTCACTAAAGCACTACTGAAAACCAGAAAGCACTGGACAGTTGTTTCGTCATAGTGTTTAACTACTCGTCTTTGTCCATTCACAACCCTGACTCCGAGAACCGAATAAGGGATTTTCGTTTTTGCCTGCAAATGCATTACTTTTACACCACTGATCCATGAAATAAACTTTGAAGATTCTACTACCTCAACAAACTTTATGACTTAGTGAGATAGAAGTTTAGCGTTCTCAGCGAGAAGAAGGCTGCTAAATTCTATTCTCAATGGTAGGATGATCGATGCCCACTGATTAGAATGAAACTATAGTCCAGTGCTTCATAATTTCTCAATATTGGTCTAGTTGGGATAACTTCATAATTTAATTACAATTTAACTTCATTTTTTACAAAACCTACGTACTACTGATAATAAATATGACAATTATCAAAGATGCTAAGAAAAAAGTGCTAGTACTTGTACTTGGATGACTAAACTAGCAGAGTCAAAAGTCCTATTGGGTAGTTATTCTAACTCTGTATTAAAAATCGATAGCGCGACTAAACAAAAGAAGAGGGTAAAGATGGTAGATCAGACAAACAAAACAGATTCTTAAATATTTTGAAAAAATGAAAAAATGGAGGAAAAAGCAGAAGCGATTCAATCACTATAGCAGTGTTAGCTGAAGCATATGATCTTTTCTTCTGCATAATTGGGATTCAGATATCAAGTACCATTTGCTTAAGAGTAACATAAATGTTCCCAATTACTCTGCCTAGTTATCACTCAGAAGCTAATCTGTGTGGGATTCATTTTTTTATATAGCACTTCAGGATAAATTGAAGCTATTCACTGTTCTGTAAAGGTTATACATAAAGCTACATTTATGAAACAATTTATTTAGATATTTTGCATGAAGAAGATTTAGGAAACATGAAATAAAAGTAATTTACTTCATCTCACAATATTACGATGAATACAAATTATTCGACTAGGAAGTTTCATTTAAAATTTATTCATTACAATATACTACTCAAAAGTACTTTGAGTAGTTCAATTAAGAAACAAGATGGAACGGTTTTCATAAAGAAGTTTTTTACAGAATTAAAGTGATGTAATTTAATATGATTGCAATTATACTCACTGATCAATAGTTCAACTTGAATATTGAGTTTTATCTTGAGCATATTTAACTTATTCGATTAATTTGTGTATGAATTCGATGTATCTGAAACTACAGTTTCGATTTTTGTACTAATGTATACTCTCCAGAAAATGTGTACAAAAATCTCCAATCATCGATATTCAAAAACGATGAACAGGGTTCTGTGAATGAGATTAATTCAGTGAACTCATTTTATTTTCCTAATCAAAGATCTTTTTGAACTTAAAATAAGTAATTTACTATTCAGTAATCTATTTTTATGAAAATATACAAATAATGGTTTTCTCAAATTTTATTGGTTATTAATAGTTTAAATGGTGGTACATTCTAGTAAAACGTTTAGTAATATAACGGTTGGACTATTCTTCACTTTAGTTTTATTCACAAACGTATTACCAGGTGAATTAGAAACTGTTACTATCTCACAGAAACTAAGGCTATAATGATGAATCATTGCAATTTTTTTTTGAAAAATGGCATTAGTTTGTTGTTGTTCTCCTAAATACTAAAATAAACTTTCTTTATTTTTAAATAGGAAAGAAGGTATTTGCTAAATATCTCATGACCAAGTTGATACTAGAAGAAGTATCCTTCTTTATCTTCCATAAGTATAACTCTCTCTCTCTTTATATATATATATATATATATATATATATATATATATATATATATATATATATATATATATATATATATATATATATATAATGTTCTGTTTATGATATCAATTCGAAATAGACCACCAAGTAGATAACACAATTATCCTTGATAGATAACAGAGTTGGCAACAACAAAAAATTCATACACACATTAGCCTTATCAACTGTATGATATTTAATTGACCATTATTATTCATTTTCTTATTATATACAAATGACTAGTGTTCAATTAATTACATATTTGATTATGAATATTATCGAAAGATTAGAATATTCTATAGTTTGTTTACATGTAAATTAATATTAAAAGAGGCTATTTGCAAAGTCATTGATAATTGGGCTTACAAATAATACTCACCATAACTAATAATAATGATAATAATAATGTCACCATTAGTATTACTTAGGTTACCCCCATTAAATGTAGCTTATCCATCGTATTAACAATCGAATAAAACTAGTATGAAAACATTAGCATATAGGGAATTCGCAAAAAATGTATGAAAGTTCAGCAAAGTTAGTTTTGTATATTCAATATGTATAGTTATAAGTACTGTAAGTCCTTACTTGTTTAAGTAAATAAAACCCAAGTATCATGTAAATATCTGATAATTATAATGTTGTAACAGCTTTGTTTCCCCTCTTAAAACCTCTAAATATCAAACTATACTGATTCATTAATTTATAATACAAACGTACTAAACTCTATTGACTTGAAATGTAATTAATGTTAACTAAAATAATATTAACCAAATTATTGTGCCATACAGTCATCATGTATAATTTTCGTTAATTAATTAACTTCCATCACATCTTCAAAACATGGATGATTCAGCAGCCATCTGAGTAAAAAGTCTATAAATTTCAATTGACTCTTACTTAAAATGCTGCTATTGTTACTGAAATAGTAACTGCAATTGATTGGTAGGAGGAACCGTTTTCTGTTTCTGTATGAATCAGTACGGTAATAAAAAATAAATACTGTATGATGAATTAACAACCAATGTCATTCAAGGATACCAACGTCAATTCTGTATGCTGATTGTTCAAAATAATTACACTGATTTTCATCCAATTACTGGCTGATGTTGATTTTTTTTTTCACCCCATTTTCCAATTGTTATAATTCGTGACCTTGTACTCTATTAATATATAACGCAATGATACGGTCAAATAAAGAACAGTGATGCGTCAACCCGTATGAACAGTCTAGAGTCCTTATCAATCCTTCTTCCTGTCTATCTAGTTGTTTGAACCAAATTAGATGTAATATTCTTTGAAATAACCATTCAATAGTTAGAAATTATATATTTTAATCATTGATTCACAGAAAAATTACCCTGTTATTTGTTATAATATCAGTAATGATTTTAGAATCTATTACCATTATAATGTACACCATATTACTAAGAATAATGGCTTTTTTTCAAAGTTATGTCCTTAGTTAATTAAGGAAAACTCTATAATAATATTTCAATAAAGTTCTCTTTTTCTTCATTTACATCAGAGAATACATACATGTGCATAACATTACTTAGTGATGACTTGACCTAATTGGTCTTGATTATTATCATTATTTATTTAAGCTACTAAACTACCTAAGGCATATGATAGAATATTAATTAGGTTAACAGACTCACCTACTCCCTTTATCTTAATGACCAGTTAATTAGAATATTCTCCTTTTAGCTAAACCTTTTCTTAGTATATATTTTGACTCCCATTGTTTGGCAGCCAGTAAACTCTCCTTCAATTACTTTGCTCGGAATAGTCATACTTATTATCATTAGTATTATTAGAACAGCACATATAAGCGAACAATATTGCTTTCATTTAAATCCTCACCATGATTTACTCTAATGTACATGAATATTTATTCGAAAATTCCAAACTACCAAAGGCAATTTATGATTTAACAATAATAAAACAACTGAAGCTCTAGTCAACAATTCATCATAGTAACTTAAACTTGGATAAATAGACTTTAAAATAATAACTAAAAGACACCATTGAAATTACGCAATAGGGGGCGTGTAAGTAATTAGATATTGAATGATATAAACGGAAAGAGAGACAAAATGACAAATAAATACGGGATTTACAGAATTAATAAAATCGTTTATTAGGTTACATCTAGCCAAGGCATGGACAGTGGTGTCACGAATTTCACTTGGACACATAAATTAAGGTTATAGGTTCATATCCTTGTCGCTTCTGCTATATGTGGGAGACCGGAACGATAGGTCCTTCGAAATGATTCGGTTTTATCTACTATATCCCCACTGTCAACCAGCTGTGTCAAGATTGAGCTATGTCTTGTCTTTATCTGGCCATTTCCAAACCAAGCTGGTAGATGTTAACTCATTCGTTGGTTAGGTTGCCTGGAAGTACGCCCAGCATAGCTATTTTCACAAGATCTGCTGAATTTATAGATGCAGATTGAGGAGGCAAACTCAAACATCTTTTTCTTTGTTTGAGTAGATATCACTGATCTACTAGAAAATGTCAATTCGAGGTTGATTGCGTAGAATGCCCTATTAACTGCAAATCTTAGTCTTTCATGCAAGGTGTCCCTAACTATACCCCCTTTGAAATGTAGCTTTAGTAAAAGGGGATTTTTAAGGGTGGTCAGTATCTCCATCTTATCTTTTTCCCGCATAAATGAACTTCCTTAAAAAGTTCTCAGATAGCCGATCTCAGCGATTATGGTATTCATAAACTCCAACTCCTTTTTTATAGTACTATGTGAGGAGATACTTTTGGCTCTATTTTTGAGACATCCAATTAGATTTCTTTTGTATATGTGTGTGGTCAATTTAGCGGCAGTATCGATCTGGTTTATTGATAACCTTATTCAGATGTCCGTTTTCTAATTTTACTAAGAAGAATTCAACTAAAATTGTGGTTAGGGGTGAGCTTATAGCTATTTC